GATATCAATAAAACAACTCAAAAACAGACACAATATGCATGCGGATACAGTGAATTGCGCTGTATACACTCGTATAATGACATAGAAATTTATGAACAATTTAAGCATTTGCAGAGGCATGAGACTCCATTACGTAATTTCGATAGTGTAGACCGGTGGTTATGAATAAGTTATTTATTTGTTTCTTGAAAGTCGCACTACTAGCCCTAAAGTTCAATTGATCTGCAAGGGTATTTAAAACCTGAGGTACCTGGTAAGCAACACTTTGTTTTCCATACATGGTTCTTGTTCTAAAAGCTCGTTTCTTTTGTTCTCGCAGACTGTAGTGTGGTCTTTCGGTGCAACTTTCTTCTTATAGCTTAGTATTTTGTATTAACTGAAGCAATTTAAAATGATATAATTGATCGATTCTGAGTATGGAATGTTTAATGAATAGTGGACCAGTGCGCAAGCCTTGTAGATTGCCCCTGTATTTTTCAAAGCAGCGCAATATTTTCTTTTGTATATTATTAACTTAAGGTAATTCCTTTGTGATGTCGTTCCCCAGACTAACATCCCATAAGTTACATTAGAATAGAAGAGTGCATAGTACATACTTATTTTTAACCTGAATGGGATTAAGTGCATTGTTCTAAAAAAACAACCAACTATTCGCGCTAATGCGGTGATCAGATGATTTGCATGTGTGTTCCAGTTTAATTCCTCCTGAAACCATACACCAAGAAACTTTTGTTCCCTAACATGTGCGATGCAATTTCCTTCGAATTTTACAGCTATGTTACTAATAGGTTTGTTTATAGGTCGGAATATCATATAGGTTGTTTTTTTTTTTTGCATTCAAGCGCAGTCCATTTTGCCTTAACCAATTTGAAAGATTGCTTAGATAATTATTTACACTGACCTCAAGTGATAATAGATTGTCTGATGAAAAGAAAACATTCGTATCGTCAGCGTACATTATAAGTTCAGGAGAATGAGGTATATCGACAATATCATTTATATAGGCAAGGAACAATAATGGCCCCAGTATAGACCCTTGGGGGACTCCTTGGTTTAATTTCATCTTTGCAGAAATAGTGTTATTCAGTTGTACATATTGATAACGATCTTCAAGGTAACTTTTAAGCAGTTGTAATGCAACTCCACGCACCCCATAACTTGATAATTTATGAATCAATGATTTGAATTGTATGGAGTCAAATGCCTTTTGAAGATCGAGGAAGAGCCCAAGAGTATATTTTTTGTTTTCCATATTTTCGATTATCTTATCTTTGATATACAGTAGAGCTTGTTCTGTTGATTTATTTTTTTTGAAAACCATACTGACTTTGCGTTATTATTTGATGCTTATCAAAAAAGGATGCAAGTCTATCATAAATAACCCCTTCAAATATTTTTGATATTGTTGGAAGCACGGATATAGGTCGATAGTTCGCTAAAGTAATTATATCACCACCTTTATGTACTGCAGTGACTTTTGCCACTTTTAACTGCTCTGGAAATACACTGTTAGTGAGGGTGAGGTTGATAATATAGGCCAAGACATTAGATATCAATGGTGACACCATTTTTAACTCAACAGAACCTATCTCATCAATCCCTGATGCAACATTGTTTTTAAGTTTTCTGATTAATCTTTCTACTTCAACCGGATCTGTGGGTGCGAGAAAAATAGAATACGGCAAAGGAGACTTATCAGGAGTTGGAGCATTATCTCGCTTTTGATCCGTTAAAATAAAGGAACCCGCATTTATGAAATGTTCATTCATAACATTGGCCAACCTTTCACCACTGAAAATCTGACCATTAATTGTTAGGTCCTATGTCCTATTACAACCCTTACTTGTATTCGTAAGCCCATTTATGACCTCCCATAGTTTCCTCTGGTCATTGTAAATGCTTTCAAATAATTTTTCATAGTAGTTCTGTTTAGCCTTCCGTATTTCTGAATTTAAAACGTTTCTGTATTTCTTGTACTCAGCTAAGGCGTCTGTGTTCCGCGAACGGATAAAATCATGATACAATTTATTCTTTATTTTTATGCGCCGGTAAAGATCACGATTTATCTAAGGCTTTCTGCATTTTTTTATTTCTGCCACGTGAGCGCTTCAGAAGTGGAAATGCTGCATCATAGCTAGCACTTAATAACCTCATGAATGTGTTATAAGCATCATCAGGATTTTCTTGTCTATAAACAGTGTTCCAATCTATGTTCTGAACTAGCTGAAAAAAAATGTTCCCGAGTTTTGCTGTTTTCAATTCGGTGGAAATATGTCTGTTTTCTGACCATTTTGAGAAGTAATTCGTGCAAGAAAGAAGATGGGCATATGATCACTTATGTCATACGCGAATACCCCGGATTTTATATTCTGTGAACTTAAATTTGAGGCGCATATATCAAGGAGCGTAACACTTGTTGCTGTAATCTTAGTAGGTGAACGTATAAAATTTGTACTTCCATATGTAAGTAAGAGCGTTTCAAAATCTTTGGCATAAGGATCATTGGAACAGAGGTCAATGTTTATGTCACCCATGACTATGCAAGGAGAATTCTCGCGAACAGTATATAACACAACATTAAGAAACTCAATAAATTTCCTTTTATGGCCATGTGGTGGCCTATATACACCAATTACTATGAATGGGCCAACACACATTTTAATGCATTGAACATCATCGTTCATAACAGTATACTTATCAAGCAGTTCACTCGAAAGCGTATCCTTAAAATAAATAGCAAGACCTCCACCTTTTTGCTGGTTACGACCGAGAAGTTCATGACTATAGCCTGGAAAGAACGGAGCATCTTCTTTATAAGTAATCCATGTCTCGGAAAAAACTAGCACATCAAATTCGATAGCTATAGACCCTATAAAATTAGCAATGTCCTCGATCTTTCTTTTTATGCTTCTACAATTTATATGCAATGCTTCAATCAAGCCTTTTCCGGATTGAAATACCCTATTAAAGTCTTCAACACTGTAATACTTTTGGTTATTTACAAGATCAGTCATAGTGGAATGTTTTTCAATTTGTTATGACACATGCCACATCTAATTTCTAATTTTAGCCAGGCTTGTCTCATCCGTAATGTGTATCGCTCGTGATCCTTCATCTTTGCGTGCAAGGACTTTGCCACCGGATGTCCAGACAAATTTTCATGCGGCTTCTTTCTTTTTTTGTATTGCCGCTGCAAGCAATGCCTTGCCCTTCTGCGTCAAATGCTCATTTACAAAAATGGGCGTTTTTTTATCATCCCCAAGCATAGAACTATCGAGCCTCTTCTTTTTACATTTTGCCAGTATGTCGTCACGTTTTGTTCTTTTTACAAAGCGAACGATTATTTTCTTCACACCAGGCTTAGGAGTGGGAATCCAGTGGCATGCGTCAATATCAGAAAGATCAACTGCCGTGCCGACAGCTTCGCTTATCTTTCTTACAACATCCACTGGATCATTCCCGACCGGCGCACCCTTTATCTCAAGATTGTTTAGGCGCTGATACTGTTGATAATTATGTGATGTAAGCTCAATCACAAGACCTGGCACTTGCCACAGGGCTACACCAGAAACCCAGATAATCAGACCTAGACGGGAATAATTTCTTTATGCTCATCGTGTGCAAGCACACTGACGCTCTGCCACGTCACGTGGGTATGCACGGCACACACCGAAGAACAGGAAGGGGATAACAGCAGAGAGAGGTGCGGAGGCAATGCTGTCCAGCCATGCCCTTCAGGATCAGCTGAGACTGGTCAGAAAGCTGAAAGAATGGCCAAAGCCAGCTATGCATCGGAATAGGGGCCCGACCACGCGGCGTTGCCCCGTTTCCGCGGCAACAAAATATTTTTTGCAAATTTTCTTCTTTTTCAAGAAAAAAAACAACGGTGTTACTTTGAATAAAAGAACTGTGCGAGCATCGATGATGAGGTAAAAAAAGGTGTGAAAAAGCCAAAAAAGTTCTATTTTCCCCTGTAGGCTTGTGCTTAGAGCATGCACGGTGCAAGAGCTATGACAACCTGGTTCACACACGACGTAGCTGACGACATGCTGGATACTTTGGCTCATAGTTCCCCTTTCTTATAGCCTTTCACAGCGATATAAACTCGTTGGGCGTGCGAGGGAAACGCTTCGTTTTTAGACACTGCTCGGGACGGTTTTAAGCTCTCCCATAGTAGAGTACCCTGTGCTCTAAATCGTTACCCCCTTTTTCTACCCCCCCCCCCCCTACTCCTCGTATTCCCATCAAGCGTGAGGCCCACGGGACGGCTTTATGCTCTTCCATTGTAGAGTACCGTACTCTAAATCGTTAAGCACTTTTTCGAAACACACAAAGTACAGCTGCGCATGTGCAGCTGTATTTAGTGACTCATTCGCAAATTTAAGCACGTGCAAACTGGCTGGTTTTGCATAATGTTATGGAAGTGCATCATGAATCAAAACAGAACACTATAGCTTTCATCCTTGCTTATGCGATAATCTTTTGTGTGCGGTGCTGGCCGGCATATTTATCAACGGGAAGGAACTTAATGAGTGAATGAACAACCTAATTTATCCCTAGTTAAAGACAATGGGGCAATTGGATAGAGGAATGGAGGGGAGCGGAACTACTCGAAGTAAGTCTCCTCTACCTTCTCAGCTTACACCAGGGTGGTCTCCTGTTAAGCGCCGCTAGCACGGAAGCAGAGGTCAGGAAGGAACATAAACTTTCTCAGTGATCTATAGGATAAATATCAGATTTAGCAACAACGTACGGATACTCACAACAGCGGCAAGTAGAAATTTCTTCGTTTAAGCATGAGTGCCTCATTAACGCATGATGCGTCTTGCGTCGTTTGTGTTTGCACGTACTACGGAAAGCACACCCTATAGGTTTCATTCTTCGCTTTTGTTAACAGCAATCTCTGATAGGACGAAAATATTTCTCAGTGCTTCCGAGTTCAACAGTCGTCTGGTGTATATAGTTGGCTCATGTGTATCCTTATGTTAATAAACTCCCAGGTGTGGATGAGGCGTCGATAGCAAGTGACCGGAGCGTCATCCCGAACATAGGAGGCGATATGACAGCAGACCTCGAGGAAATGGCGAGGCTTGAGCTCGGAGAAACACCCGAAGTGAAAGCAAAGTCTGTCGAGCAGCTGAGGCGGCTCCTTTCAGGTGAGATTGCTCAGAAAACACGATTGAAGCATGCTCTACCCAGACATTCAAGCATTTCCAGGAATTTAGCTTGAGTGGGGACGGCCTCCAAAAGAGTTGACTGTTGGGAGAGTTGGTGCTTTGACATAGAAACTATCGTGAGGGTGCAACTAAACACAACACACTGAAAGAAATATACAATCGACCGGTGCAAACTGCCAACTGACTTTATTCAAGAACGTTCCACACCTTTATATATCAACACCCTGCGCAGGGGCACCGCCAGAACAACGAAAAAATTCTAACCAGGCGCGAAAGAAATTCGAATTACGCATAGTGCAATGCAATGAAGGTTTCCCTCACTCGTCATCTGCTTTTTTAATTAAATAAGCTTCTATTGTGTTGCGAGCCGTTTTATTTGTATACTTCTGCCTAGGACTTTTGCACAATAGATAGATAGATAGATAGATAGATAGATAGATAGATAGATAGATAGATAGATAGATAGATAGATAGATAGATAGATAGATAGATAGATAGATAGATAGATAGATAGATAGATAGATAGATAGATAGATAGATAGATAGATAGATAGATAGATAGATAGATAGATAGATAGATAGATAGATAGATAGATAGATAGATAGATAGATAGATAGATAGATAGATAGATAGATAGATAGATAGATAGATAGATAGATAGATAGATAGATAGATAGATAGATGCTTAAGTGTCTGGAGTACGCAAAGAAATGATTCGCGTTTAAAAAGTCTCTTTTGTCGGTGTAGTTAGTGTAAGTCATGCAATGGTCTGCGTTCCATCTGCCAAACTGAACCAGATACACTATACGCTACTCCTGTTGCCTTGAAGACTCAGCTCACTGCGTACACGTTTCGTGTTTCAGAAGAGCCCTGGCTGGAGTGTCCCACAGACGGGGAGTTCTTGGTGAAGTTCTTGCGTGCCCGCAAGTACGACGTAGAGGAGGCCCTCAAGAACATCCGAAAGTACTTCCGAGTGAAGCAGGAGACGCGGGAGATGTTTGACAACTTGAACCCGTATTCGGTCCCCTTCGACTCCACATGTCGAGAGCACCGCCTAGTCACAGTGTCCCGGCAAAGGGATTCATTAGGGCGGGGTGTGGTCCTCTTGAGATTAGGTGAGCCTGTTTAGTAGACTACACACACACGCACACGCACACACACACACACACACACACACACACGCACACACATGCACACACACACGCACGCGCGCGCGCGCATACAAACACATAAATTGTCGCGGTAAATATGATTACACCCGAAAGACAGCAGCGAATATATTCACAATATTTACAAGCAACTGTGCCACTGAATAGCCACCAGAATCTCGTGAGCCCACCACCCCTCTTGTTCGTGTCTTTGTTTTTCTTTGTTTGCTACGGCAGGATCAAGCACCATGCCTCGTAACATCATATATGGTTGAGAGAAAAAGAAATAACGATGTAACATCATTAGCACTCAACGTTCTTTATTTGGTATTTTGTTACTTTGCATTTGTATGCAACATTGTTACGCTTTCTCTCTTCATGCTTAATTTAATGCTGCAACACGATAGGAAGGTGGGCTACTTGGTATTTCGTAATAGTTCAGCGAACTGGGAGCGCTCACGCTGTGTGCCTCCTCTTTGCTTCATGTCTATGTCCCCCCCCCCCCTCGCAGTCCTAGTTCGCTGAATTATTTAGTGCTATTGAGAATACGGGATACTTGTTAAGAACTCGTTCACATGACTGTGTGTTTCGATTTCACACCTTTCAGCTTCTTGACACAATTAGTTATCCGAGACTGCATTGGGGTGAGAGGGTTGTTGAACACATATTGAGGACTTCTATGTATATTTAAAGAAAAAGAAAACCACATTGTGGTATCGATGAGGCATATATAATGAGGTGTAAATCGACAAATAATCTTGTCGGAGTACAAGTTGTTTCATTATTAATACAGGACCGTGTGTGCTTGGCAGGAAACTATTTCTCCTGAACATTTCATGAGTTCAGATACGTGTATGTGTCATTTATTAACAAAAAAAAAACTCAGTATTTGAAGAAAGGCAGTCACTATAGGCGTATCATTCCTCTCTTCTGATTACTCCAAGAGTTCTAGGACGTGGTCACAGCTCACTGAGACATTTAAGGAGGGTGTGAAACAACGCGTGTCCTGTAGGCGTTAAAAAAAAACAACAAACGATATCATATCACTGTTGCAATCTGATGTGCCATTCGTTACACTTCGCGTAAAGGTCGCGAGCGAAGCTTAAACAATCTGCTTGTTTTTTTTCTTCACAATATGTTTTTGTTCGAAACTCTGATCATTTGGCTGGCTTTTGTGTTTGGCCGGTGGTTTTCAGGTGCGTGGAACAGCCGGATGTGTTCCCTCATCGACTACTTCCGCGTCAGCCTGGTTCAGGTCGAGTGGCTGCTCTTCCAGCAGGACGTCCAGATCCGAGGCGTCGTGTTCGTGCTCGACTTCAAAGGTCTGAGCGTGTACCACATTACGCAGTACACGCCGTACTTCATGAGCAAGCTATTGTACCTGATGCAGGTGAGATCGATTTGCAGGTTTTGTAGAAGCAAAAATTATGCGACAAAGAGCTACACTTACATTATTATTATTTATTAATACTGTAACTCTCACTTGAGGGTCATTACAGGGAGGAATATAAACACAAAACAAAAACAATACACAATGACAAAACAGACATTACGTTTCATGTTGCCGGTAGTACAATTCTAGCGAACACTCATACGCTTTGACATTTGCGCTAGTAACAGCGTACTCTGGAAGTCTATTCCACACTTCTATACTATACGGGAAAAAAGAATTTTTAAAGCCACCTTACATACAATGAATGTAAGGTGGCTGTTTGCTCAAACGCCTAGATGCACGCCGAAGTTAAGAAGGGCACTATGGTTGAATATGTAATTCTAAGCTAAAGAACTTCCGATTAAATTTCATTGGCCATGAAACAAATTAATTGGGATAAATTTGTCAGACTCCATAATTGTCACTTCGTGCGTTTTTTTTTATTGAAATAGAAAATCAACGAAAGAGTTTTCGTCCCCGTTACTTGGCGACGGCTGCCCCTATCCGCTTGATTGTTACAAAGCAATAAAAAAACAAAATAGCATATATACGTATTCACAGTCCTACATAGGTGAGAGCAACAGTTCTCGTATGGGCAGAACAAACACGTAGTCGCCACGCTCGCTTTAAACTACAGTCCGCTCAGTAGTGGTCACGAATCTTCGATTCTTCGAAGAAGCGTTACAGCTCCTTCATTGCTTTGCCATTTGTTTTAGATAGCCATGAGCCTATTATTTTATTCAATGCAAATGGCCGCTCGGTGTCTAACTTATGGAGTTCTTGTTCGAGTCACCTTCGATGTGTGTCATGTTTCGGACAGTCGAGCAAGAGGTTCTCTACTGCCGCTCCAGCGGAATGGTTCCCAAGAAAGAGAATAGGAATTGAAATCAGGATGGAACCGGTAACTTGTGTGCTGTTGTGATCTCAGGAATGAGGAGCTACAACGATTACGATGTCAATTTTTTATTGTCCCTTGAAGTATTTCACGGGGTCATTGTGTTAGAGCCTGTGACTAAAATGCATTTTTTTCGTAATTTCTCGGGGTCATTGTGTTAGAGCCTGTGACTATAAAGACATTTTTTTCGTAATTTCTTGAATGTTTTTCAATGTGTGTGAAGGTAAAAATTTTAACTTAATACCAGTGAACTTGTGGGCTTGCAAAACCAACTAGAACTTTGTTCAGTGTTTTTGCTGATTGTAGACGAACTCACTCTTTTCAGGACTGTTACCCGATTCGAGTGAAAGCCCTCTACGTAACCCACAACCCAGCGTTATTTGACATACTTTTCGCCGCAGCGAAGCGCTTTATGAAGCCGAAATTGCTCCAAAGGGTAAGGGATAAGTCATTTATGTAACATTGCTAACAATCTATTTTAGTGTACATTCACCATAAATCTATGGTGAATGTACACTTGCAGATTATGAAAAGTATCGATACTTTTCATAATCTGCCAGTGCGCTTGCCTGCAGCGAAAATTTGCCCTGGTAATGGCGACACCTGTCCTGCTTCAAATGGAGACGAGGTCTTAATTGATCATGCTGGGGTTCGTCCATTAGGCATTAATGCCAAGAGAGCTGAGCCTACATTTTTTATGTCACAGCGCAAGTAAACTGCACTTGAACACTCTGCAGCAAGTGACTAGCCGCCATTATTCGAGCAAACTGCATGACATGAAAGCTAGCTTTGCAATAATGAAAAGAGTCTATAAAAATTGCCAGTAAAGTTTTATTTCGCATGGATGATCAAGTTAGTAGAGTGAAAAAGCAATATGGGGGCTTGTTTTTAATGTGAAAGCAACTGTATAAAAATTATCAGTACCGTCGTCGTCATCTTTCGTATATATATATATATATATATATATATATATATATATATATATATATATATATATATATATATATATATATATATATATATATATATTGTGTGTGTGTGTGTGTGTGTGTGTGTGTGTGTGTGTGTGTGTGTGTGTGTGTGTGTGTGTGTGTGTGTGTGGATTGGCCGTAGCGTTGCAAGTAGTCAAGTAGATCCTCCGTGAGCAGTCACAACGTGGTTTATTTCGACGTTTCAGCCAGAGTCTGGCCTTCATCAGGAATCGTTCGCTCTTGTTGCAAACAAATGGGTTTGACAGGCACACCCAGACTATATGGCTGGTGTAACTGGTGTGCTACCCTCCACAGGGGGAAAGGAGGGTGTGATTAAAAGATGAGTAAAGAAATGGAGAAAGAGAGGGGTAGGACAAACGCACACATAGAAAGTAACCGCGCATAGCGGCAGTCTTGAGCGGTATTAAGAGTCTAAGGCCACTCGTACAAGTCGGTTGTCCTTAGGAGGTTCAGCAATGCCTTGGCTCCTTCAATTCTCGATGACTTTTCTTGATGTCAATAGGGGATAGTTTGTAGTGCCATCGTTCTGTTGTCAAAACGAGCGAGAGCAAATGAGAGGAATTGTCTCTGCGCACCGTGGCTAGGACCGCTGCATAAGATATGCGGCAGATCTGCCCTCGGTCCGGCAGGCGTCGCAAACAGCGTTGTCGGTCATACTTATTTAAAAGAAATACCACTTCGTGAAAACCACTCTTAGCCATAGGCGGCACAAGAGAGTGGCCTTTCAATTTTAAATACCCTCCACGCGTTTAGGCGTTGTTGACGATTGTTTTGTCTTCTTGATGCAGTCAGTGTTGAGTGCGAAACATCCTTTGCGATTCTTGGGATGAATTTAACTGTTTTAGCACCACTGGGCACAGTATAGTGTTGGTAAACAGATTTAAAAATAGGCACTCGTCATGGCAATCCAGTCCCTTATAAGGGTGCGGATAGCACCGGTGCTCCTCCTTGTAGCAATCGGTGACGTCTTTGAATGAAAAGTCCAAATTGTTTGATTGAGAGTAGGCTTCCAAAGACAGGGAGATAGCCCGGGAACAGAGTGCGCGGGCAGCCTGATCGGCTTGTTCGTTTTTCTTGACTGCTTGCTGACTGGGCGACCAAATTAGATTACGCGTAGTTAGATCAACGTATCGGCAACTAGGTTCCAGGATGCGCTGAGCAAGCAGGTGAGCCCAACCTTCCTCATAGTTCTGACAGGTCCTTCGTGAGTCGGTGATGAATTGATTATATGTTTCGAAGAGGGATAGGTGAGAGTCACAGCGAAGCCAATCTCCTGCGCGTGTGTCGCACTGTAGGCTTTGAAAGTGAGTCCGTTTACTGTGGAACAAACGAGATGGCTGAACCAGAATCCCAGTATGTTCTTACCAGAATCAACGCCAGCAGAGTACGTGACCTGTGGCTTTTCGTGCCACTGCCAAGTGCTGTTCTTTATTTTTTCTCTTGAAGTCACGGGCTCTCCGGTTTTGCTCGCCGTTCAAATGATGGCGCTACAGAGTCACGACTTGCATTTTCCGCACACTGGAGAGGTCCTTAAGGAGCCCGAATTTGCATATGCAGGCCAAGCTGGCGGACTGGTCTGCTAGTGTTGCGGCCCCTTGGGCCCCAGCATAGCCGCCGTCAACCTTGGTTTCCTCCATTTCCCTTCCCCTTTCTGAATTATAAAGTTTATTCCTGCTCCTCCTCTTTTCCGCACATTCCATGCGCTCGCAAATTTCTTGTATCCCCTAGCTCTTTGGGTCCCCGATTTTAAATAAGACCCTTTCACTGTTAACAAACACACGTTCTTGATGACATCCGGTTTTGTCCACCGATGTGCTTTAATAGCATCGGTGGGCAAGAAAAGCTTTAGAACATAGCCCGCTCATTTTCTACACTTTTCTTCCGCAAAATATATTCTAATAGGTGTTCTTTTGAGCTACATAAAAATGAGAAGTTCTTTTCGACTTAACGTGCATTCCTTTGTGTGAAAAATAATGAGAGACTTTCCTTTCCCTTGAAAAAAAAAAAAACATGAAAGCATGCTTTCAGTTTCGACGTTAGGAGCTGGTAAATGAGGTGACCGGAAGTTTTTGGGGTTAAAACGCTTGTGACGTTGAAACCGTCTTTCACCGGAGTTAGATGTGCGCTTCTAACATACACTTTTGTCGAATTCCAATGGCAGATCGCGAGCGCTGGGCCGGATTGCGAATGGAGCGCGCAGATCCGAGCGGGATTGCTCTCGCCAAATCTGCGATTGGAACGCGCGCGTCTCGACGGGAGCTGTTGGTGATCGGAAATCTAATGAGGGAGCACGACAGGGTGCGAGGGAGTTTGAAGCGTTTTCCGGACACCCATCCGTGATTGGATGAAAGGTGGGCGCACAGAATACGTCAGTTGAACATCCGGTCAAATCTGCCGATTTCGGAGGAGCGAAAATTCTTGCTCTACGGAGCAATCCGTAATGGGTGGTTGCTCTCAATCTGCCAATGAAACACCCATTCACGCTCTCATTTCGCCATTGGAATGTGATTTTTCCACTCAGGGCAGAAAAACTTGATCTGGATCCACCACTGAAATTCAACATTAGACATACAGGGCGGTGTCGCCCTTGCTCACGCGCTTATCTATCGAAGGGGAGTTTCGTACGTCTTGTGCATTCACCGCAAAGTTTGCGTTGAAGCTATGCACCGCGCGAAGGTCACTTTACTCGCTGCAGCCGCTGTGTTTGTGAAAGGAGTGAGCTGCTAGCCAGAAGAGTCATAGTGGGGGCTTGCTGAAGTAATGACTGGGACAATTTGCGTTCGTCTTGTTTGTACTTGTGAGTTCTTTTCGAGCGTCATTCTTTGTGTTTGATTAGCGGGCAGCAGGTGTCAAGCAGCGACAGTTGTTGGTTCGAACTTGCCCTGTGTGTGTGCCTTTCCTACGCCACTTGTGCTTGGGCAGCGCGTACACATTTTCTAGCTGCTTGCCGCTTTCCAGTGACATTCCACTTTTTTGTTATCGCATTGATCGCTTCACTCGTGATGCGAAACTGATTTTTGTGAGTTTGAACTATAGCAGCAGATAATGTATGTATGTATGTATGTATGTATGTATGTATGTATGTATGTATGTATGTATGTATGTATGTATGTATGTATGTATGTATGTATGTATGTATGTATGTATGTATGCATGTATGTATGTATGTATGTATGCATGTATGTATGTATGTATGTATGTATGTATGTATGTATGTATGTATGTATGTATGTATGTATGTATGTATGTATGTATGTATGTATGTATGTATGTATGTATGTATGTATGTATGTATGTATGTATGTATGTATGTATGTTGCAGTAACATATCGGAACGTATTTTGCTCATGATGCTATCACGTTTCTTTTCTTCAGGTTCGTCTCCTAGGACACGACTTAGAAAAGTTACACAGTCTGCTTCCTGTGGACGTAATACCCCAGGAAGCCGGCGGAACCCACGAATCGTACGATTACGACAAACTCGAGAAAGACTTGCAAAGTAATGCCAAGTTCTTCGATGACATCAGCCGATATGGCTACTGCAACAAGCCGGGCAGACGGAACAGATGATTCCGTATTGCGTTGGAAACGTTAAAGGGGCGAAAGGGCGTAACACGGAATGAAAGTCTGTGATAAGACATTCTGCGGCACAAAAGTGTCTGAAGGTAACAGCTCTCATTGCATGGACTATAAAAGCTATCATAGTGGTTAGGTCAATATGTTTCATTAAAAGGTGGTCATGAAAGAGCAAATCATTGCATTGCGGCGAATAGCGAGTGCGTGCCAGTCTCTCTTTTTCTCTCACACACACATGCGCACGCACTTTCTTTTTATCACTGTCGTCGACTCTATCACTATAGCAGAAATTCGTCCGGGAAAACTATACCTTCAAGTATACTTTGAACCTAAGTATGGTTATTAATATTGCTGTGCAAAGGTTTCGAGCAATCTGCCATGATCTTCAGTGATGTGTTATTGTGTAGCATTGTTGTTACCTCCGAGTACAAACATCAATTTATGCAGTCATTGTAGAAAATAACACAATTAACGTTTTAACCAGGGGTGATAACCGGTCGAGTCAAATGGGCAAATTCAAGCTCTTCCTAATAGTCCATAGCCACTTTGAAATTTTGAAAAAGCGGCTACTGGTAATCACCGCGGAGCGACGCAACGAGCCTTAATTTAGCTGGAGAAACAGAAACCGACGCACCGAACAGCGCATCTACCATTCACTTCGATAACGCCTTCAGTGACGACACCATTTCCCTCACTGTTATTAGCCCGTCTATTTAGACACTTCTATTCGAGGCCACTTATTGACGCTCGCTTATTCTTCTCCCCCAATGTCGCTCTGGTTGTTGGCATTCGTTCATCAAAGTACTCAGAGCTGACTCGCCAGTGGTGATAGGGTCTCTTGCAATGTTTGCCTGAGCTATTTTAGGGACGCAACGGGACTTTTCCGCTTCTATAGGCAGCCCACAAAACATTCGATAACTTTCAAACAGAGCATTGAAGTCTTGTCAATGCAGACGTTACAAAAACTCTTTGTCGGAGGAAATGATACTGAGGCACTGACCGAGACCATCCTCAGAAAAGAAAGCTTTGAAAGTGCTGCTGAGTTTCTTACGGACAGCTGATCTCAAATACATCCTTCATGAAGTGTCGTTTTCTTTTCTCTTTTCAGTGTTTGTATAGAATTTCTTTTCTATTATGTTTTGTTCCTCCTTTTTTTTCTTGCCAAACACACTGAAGGGTAACCAGTCATTAAGAAAACTGGATATCCTCCATGTCCTCCCCTTGACTCCTTTCTTTCTAAAATTACAAAAAAAACGTTGTTAAGTTCTTTTTTTTTTGTAAATCAAAGAATATACAATTAGCGTCTGCTGTATTACGTTAAAACTTTATAGAATAAGGTGATTGACAGGGTTGCTACTGCAATGCAGAATTATTTTTTTTTATTCTGCAGGGGCATTTATTTTTGTTTTTTTAGAATTTTCTGTTAAACCTGGCACTCAACAATATTTAGAGAAAAAAAAATATGACTCAACATACGCACGAAATAGTCCATCCTATAGCCACTACGACGCTCTGCGAAGCCATCTTTCTTTGTTGACTAATTACTTTACGGCGAACCTCAGTATTCACAGCACGTTAGACAGGCTCATCCATTGCTTAGGCTTATCATTCATTGTAAAGCCAACGTGCTTCAATGCTCGAAGTGTGGCTGCTTGGGCTAGTTGGTATGCCATGACGATAGTTATAGCGCGAGAACAGAACGACGACACAGAGACAAGAAGGAGTCGCGTCTAATGAAGAACATCGCCGCGTTACACTAATTGTGACACATCAGAGGCTTCGGTTAATTATTTTATCAGTGAATTTCTCCAATACAAGCAGCAGCAAGCTCACCGGTGTTCGAATTTCGGACTAGCTTGCCTCTATTCGTATCCTATATATCCTGACCAGTCTTAGAAACGACACATGCCACAGTATACAAAGCGACAGACATTGATAGCGCAGGTGTACTGGCTGCTTTGTCATTTGCGAGGTTTATTATATTGTGCGCTTATTTTTTTCTCTCCAATATATGACCTCTGTATGCATCAGTATGGATCATAACGTAATATACAATGAACCTTGGTCGAGGGACCCAAGAGTTATCAGTACCTTGTAACTAAATCGTTCAGTACTCTTAGACAGGCGAGTTACTGTAAGATGATAATGTTCCTAAAAAGTGCGAGCGAATAGGGAATACCATGTGATACTTGCGTCTGGTTTTCCTCTATCATCCACTGCGCTGTGTGCCCATCCATTCACTCTCGTAGCAGAGAGGCTCCTTTTAATGTTATCATGCTCACTCACTCGATCATCTTGCACCAGAGAGGCAGGACGATGCCGTAATATTGTAACTAACTCCCGTGTATACATTATCCGTAATTCGACACGTTAATGTGTGCCTCGCAATGTCGTCAAGGTCTCTGGAAGTCGTAGCTTCGATTACCTGATGTTTCTCCGCAACTGAACACGTTAATGTACCTCACGGTGTCATCATGGTCTCTGGAAGTCGTAGCTTAGATTACCCGATATGCGATACCTTGATACAACTTGCAAATGAAGAAATAACGTGGTTGAGGTCATTTTTGTCCTGGGAGCGTCTCGATGAATCTCTGACCCTCGTTGCGCTTATAGATGCCGTTTGGCTGCTAACAGAGCTTCATGGTACTAAGTTCGCACACAGTGCCTGAAAGACGTTCAAAATGCTTGCATTAGAGGAAAAAGGACATGCACTGCAGTAAACGGAAACCAGAGTATGTTTCATTGAGGACTCAGGAAGCGCAATTCTTTGCACACTTATTCAAATGGTACCACAATGGTACTCGCTTGAGATCTTCTGCGGTATGAGTAGTGTCGGTAGTAAGGAATGTCAGAGCGCATCAGCATCTAGCTTCTCACAAAGAAGTGAAACCTAATTAGCAAGTCTTTTTGCGTTCGTGTCATTTGCAATTGGCAGGTCAATTCGATGGTAATGTACCATAAATCGTATTTTATTTGGACCTGGTTTTCATACAAGCTCAAAAGCAAAAGCTAAATGTACACATGAGGCGCCACCGGCAGAGATACCGAAGGTAATGTACGATAAAACATGACACAATACAGTGCAATGTTTTTCTTTCCTACTGTACTCTTTCGATGTTTCAGAGAACTCCCACACTGGAGGCTACCGAGGCTATACGCATCTGTGAACTGACAACCGCTCACATTAGTGTTTGCCGTAGGTCGGATAAGTATTATACCCGGCAAAGCAAAGCCAGCCGATAACCCGCTTGCGAGTGTGGGAATGTTATAGGAAGCATGAAATGGACCTCTCGAACTTGTCGTTCTCCAGCCTCCCCGAGCTTTTTCTTTATCGCACTCTGATTCTCACGATAGATCACTATGTGGGTTAAGTTAACGAGCTCGAGCACGCTATAGCCATCGGAGAGCACTCTTCTAATCTCAATGATTAAAAAAGCGATTACAGGAGCGTGATAACGGAGCGCGCTGTAACCTCGAGACGGTGCACGAGAGCGCGCACCTGCTTGGGCTTCCAGAAAAATGGCGTGTTTCAATCTCTCTCCAGCGATAAGCTCGACCTCCCTTCCTCTAGTTCCTAGCGCCACACAGTCGGGCTCAGGCACCATCTCAAACTGCCCGGTTCGAAGTTGCGCGAACCGAAAATGACGGGTCGATCACTACTCGCAACACATGTATACAGGTGCGTTACATGTTCCCTAAAAGTATCTTGCCGTGAATTCATGTTACTCTACGTGTAAAGCACGTTTGCAGGTTCTAGCTTTACTTTGCCATAGAGTATACCTCTGAGAGCAGCAAGATCGTACAATATGCAGCATACGTGAGCCGCCGCTAATGCCTCCGTCGCCGCGCGTCAGTTTGTACGAGTTCACCATGGTCTCGCAAGAACTGCAGGACTTTGTTTCCAGTGTTGGTGTATTCGAAATGCGTGCGAAGTACGCGCGAAGTGTGATATCGGATGCGATGCAGCATAACTTTATCGCCATGTGACGCGTTCGTGCCCCTCGAAAACAGTCGACAGATATTGTAACTTTAATAAGCTCAGAAGGTGTTCCATTCAGGCGAGCTCATTTGAAGTTCGGAGCACGCCAACTTAACTCACCCGCTGAATTTCTCAGCTCTCTTGCCTTATGTGTCGTCAACTAAGAACGGGAAAGCCACACCTTTCCTCTTTTTCAATAGATCGATGAACTGATTATTCTACGGGACGATACAGACAAACGTTAAGGACGCATTTGTGTTGACCAAGGCGACTGTAAACGGATGATAACTGTAGGTCTGACGTGAGAACAGGATCTCAAGAACATAGAAAGCGAGAAATGTATTAGCACGTGCACGCAAAGGGCTTCCTTTTGTTCCCGCTGGACGCTGCAGAAGCCATCATAGATCGTTCTTGTGCATTTCATAAGCGCCAGGAAAACAACGACGTCGTGCAAGCCGAAGCCTGCGTATGCGGGTGCAATGAACGTTGTCTAAGTGCTCTGTTTTTATACCTTGGCCCTTGTGGACCAAAAATAACAGCGGCGCCATCATATTTGCTCTGAGAAGACAACCAGAGCTAGCTGATATATTACAGGTCATATTGAATTAGGAAGCACGGATGGCTACATGCGGTATGTGTATTTATGCTTTGTATTGTGTGTCTGATTTGTGTACTTAAAATAAGCTTTTCAAGTACTTTTTGAGGTTTGGTAAACTAAATTTTAAGGGCTGCTTTGAATAGATAGCCTACGCAAAACGATTAGCACTCACCAATGTTTCACGATTTCTTCATCTTACTATTGTGATGATTTGTTGGCAGTCTATTCGAGATAAAAGGAACCTTTTATGCTAAAATCATTTTCATGAGCGAGTGTCAGACGCACCTTCAGAAGGTGCCACACTGTTAAAGTACATGTTAGTAAGTATACTTATAAAACAAAAAGCTTTGTCGATTTGGCCCGCGTTCTTTATACACTACACTTTCAATAACATGTTTGCGCATTGAAGAGTACGCGATATATGCGACAACGAGCCATTGCTGGTGAATCTCACTCCGTCGGTATACTTCTCACTATTGAAAGATCACGCTTAGTTCAGCAGTAGCGTACGCGGTAAACCACGCCAGTAGCGACACCTCAGTTTGCAAAACCTATCCAGAAACAACACACAAAACAAGAAGCTGGTGAGGTAAGTACTGCTGACAGAGTGAGTTGGGGCATAATATTCTCGGATTGCGCTTTAGTGAAACTCAGTTTGAAGAATGACGGAAATGGACGTAAGCAATGAGGGAGAAAGACGGGCGCCAGGAGGAGAGATACCGAAGCATTTCTTGACAGATTGGGTGATGAGCATCTTGAGAAGAAAAAAAAAAAGGCGCAATTTCAGACATTGCGAAAGTAAGACAACCCGGAGAAGACGACGAGGAGAGCTCGTCGTCTGGTATGTCTTTTACTATGAAAGCTGTTATGAGCCGATATCAACGGCTGGGCTTGATAGCGCAGCTGCCCGCCGCCGCCACTGACCATATAACCGCTATATATATATATATATATATATATATATATATATATATATATATATATATATATATATATATATATATATATATATATATATATATATATATATATATATATATATATATATATATATATATATATATATATATATATATATATATATATATATAGTCCAGTAGATTCTCCGTGAGCGGTCACAACGTGGTTTATTTCGACGTTTCGGCCTAGAGTCTGGCCTTCATGATGAAGGCCAGACTGTAGGCCGAAACGTCGAAATAAACCACGTTGTGGCCGCTCACGGAGGATATACTGGACTATATGTAACGCTACGGCCACTCAACCACCATGCATATATATATATATATATATATGATATGGCACAACGGGAGCGTTGTCAACAAGGATAAATATCATTATTTCCCAACAGTTTCGGGAGGCGTCCTCCCAAAACTGTTGGGACATAAATATATTTATCCTTGTTGACAACGCTCCCGTTGTGCCATATCCCATACCTTCGAGAAGACTAACCGGCCCATTGAATTATTACTCCCACTATATATATATATATATATATATATATATATATATATATATATATATATATATATCAAGCCCAATGAGAAAGAAACGTCCGCCACGGAGCTGTATTTGAACGCAGGCCCGTGAGTGGCAGTTGAGTATTGAACCACGGAGCCTCTCCGGTACTAGAAGCTCTTTCGCAAAAGGACCCTATATCGGCGTCATATAGGGCAGGAAATCGCGATACCAGGTTTAATGTAGTGTTGTAGAAGACTAAAATAGCACCAGGCGTGGTTTTAAGGTTCCCACATATTACAAAGGGCTCAGCCAGAATTCTTCGTCATCATCAACAGCACCATCAAAAAAGGGCAAATGCTACATAGATATGCAGTGAGTATGTCGCTTGTCAGTCAAACGATGAATGATGCCATATGTAGTTTTTTTTTTCTACTTGACAAAATTATGATTCGTGGCGCAGCGTAGTGCACGGGTACCTTTGGAAAAACTTGCAGCTGTCCAAAAAGCTTTTACAAGGGGTCTACTCATATCACTTCTTCAGCTTTCGTTGTGACTCGAATGCATGTTCTGCGCAGGCCTGACATTTTTAATTACCTGGCTATGCCTCTTTCCTTCATGCTCCTATTGGGTCACACTAAATCAATACAAGAACATGTCGTGTCGCAGCTTGCGTCCTGCAGCGGCCCAGGGAATAGTCTCTGTAAGGTCCAGCTCGCGAACACGGTCTCGACAAAGCCCAGTCGTTTTAGCGCTGCGCTGAGTGACTGACACTGGACGTAATAACAGGCTCAGAGACCAACGGCGGGTTCGCATTAGATGCCTCGTCGAACACGAAAATTGAACGTCGGCGTCCCGCGCAGTCACCCACGGGTGATGCGAAAAATCGTCATCCCGTGAGGGCGTCTCCATATGACGTCCTCTAGAGTTACTGTATATGCTACCTCTAGATAGCAGGGTTGCGCATCTGCTTTCCAACGCCCAGCTAGCAACTATTCACTGTGGAAAAGCTGATGCACAGGCCGCGCCCGGAAAATATGTCCGCACGCCCGAAGCAATCGCCGTCAACCTGTAATTGATCAAATGACCATCGTGCACTGTGTAACGCGTTAGCTACTACATAGCTGTGCGCACCAAGGGGAGATAGTGTTTGTCATTCGCACGAGGAGGAATCCGGATGATCACTATAGCTCATTGAGAAGTATCGAAACGTATGTGGCTGCAATACTCGCACTGACTCGGAAACTACGGCGTTAGCTCGATGTGCGATCCTACACATGCGTGTGTGACGTGTGGTCCTATCTTACGAGCATGCTTAACGACAGACACATGCATCTTGTCTACGAAGACTTCGCGGCTGTTGATTTTTTGTGCGAATGCGGTGTAGACGGCTAAGCAAGACTCACAGGGAGAACAACGCTTATCGTGTTGTGTCCAGCACTGCTTTAATAGTTACGCTTTTTATGCGCCCTTCAAAACGCTTACTACTAATAATACTACTAAGAATCGTTGGTGCTCACATCTCAAAATTAAGGTGTGGTTATGAGGGTCGCCGCAGTGGTGGGCTACGGAATTTTCTGCCACCTCAGATTCTTCAACGTGTGCTTCAACGTGTGCTAAGAAGTGTGGCAGTTTGGACTAGTTGGTATGACATGACGATAGTTATAGCACGAGAACAGAACAACGTCTTCTTCTTGTCTTTTTGTCGTCATTCTGTTCTCGCGCTATAACTATCGTCATGCTAAATCGAAGCACACGGTAAAGCCTGCTAATGAAGCCTTCATTTCGAAACATCACTTCAGCTCCAATGTAAAAAAAATTGCTGCTTTAATTCACGAGCGTGGAAATCACACACCCAGGACAAGCACTTGCTGCCCAAATACAATTTTCCTGCGTGAACATTCACATAGCACCATCACCTTACCTAAACGTGAATTATAGTTAACCGATCATCTATTTATGCTGGAACGACAGTGTGCTCAAGGAAAAGAATAAAAGCACAAATGAATGAGCTCTTTCCCGGTACTTTATTCCACGTCTCTGTCAGCGCTAGTCTAATGAATTGGTGTGTCGTCTGGTTGGTAGCTGTACTAATGTTTTTATTTATTAACTAAAATATCCAGATTTTCTGGTTTTTCTGACGGACACTGCCCTAATGGCAACCAAATAGAATGCAGCAGAATATGAGGTCCATAATCACTGGAAAAGCCCGAAGAATATGGCCGAAGAAGATTTAAAGGAAACGCCTGAAATAAGACAGAAAGCTCTGAAACGACTGCGGGAGCTAATTTCAGGTAAGCATGGACCAGAATGGCGAGGGTTTGATCTCGACCGTGGTGGTCACATTTCAGTGGGGACGAAATGCAGGAGACCCGTACACTGTGCAATGTCAGTTTATCCGATGGTCAAAATTTCCGGAGACTTCCCCTGCCTTATTATCATATTGTGGTTTTGGCATGTCACACCCCAGGTATTATTAATAATTTTAGGCAAGCACGAAGGTGCCACGCGTATTATGCTGTTATTAAAGGGGAAAATAAAGGATTCTTGTGATCGCGTAGAACTCCTGCTGTTCTTTTTCCCTGTGAAATATTTTTTGTTGTTTTTATCTAAGCTTATGCTTTCAGCAAACTGACCCGGAAAACAGTGCGCCTCGAGGTTTCCTGCTACGAAGGTGAAAGTGTTCCTACCGGTAGATGCTTCGTTTGTGCATTTTGTCTGAACTTTGTGGTTTACTTATCGTAGAAGTAGGTTGTAGAGGCAAACATGGAGATGTCATTAGGTTTTTTGAGGCACGAGAGTTAAGATTAGCTTATGTTGAGGCCCAATGGCAGAAGCGTGGGAACTGTTAACAAAAGGAAGCCACAGGGGACGCCGACAGATATATAACGTCCAGGCGTCTTGTTATCTTTCTTCTCCAGGCGCTAGATTTCGCCACAGCTGGTCCCCGCGCTTATTTAGTTATCATCACTCACGAAGAAAAGACATTACGGAAGGATTTGCTGCGCTTCCTCTCTCCTCGCCCCCTTCCCATGATGCTTCACGGCTGTATTCGAAGAATAATAATTGCTACTATTTAGGCATGCACATAGGAATGCACAATTACACTGAGGAAAGAATTAAGGAGAGAGATGGCTGGCAACTGACATGACCCCATCAGGGGCACGAAGCCTGCCTACTCTTTCGGAAAGAAAGTATAGATGAAAGAAAGGTAGGAGGAGTGAAAGAGGAAGCAAGGAAGGAAAATAAATACGAAGACTAGGAACAAAACTTGGAACAAAACTTGAGTATTATTATTATTATTATTATTATTATTATTATTATTATTATTATTATTATTATTATTATTATTATTATATTATTATTATTATTATTATTATTATTATTATTATTATTATTATTATTATTATTATTATTATTATTATTATTATTAAAGTCAGTAGAACTTGATGAGCTTAATCGCCTCGAGAAGCATCCCCTCGAAAAGAAGTAATCGCAATGGCCGCGTACTAAATCCAAAGAACTTATGTTCCTCAATCAGCTACGCCCGCTCAGCAGGTAGTGTGGGACAGTCTGTATGTGATGATCAACTGTGTCACAGGGTCCAAAATATGCAAACTAAAAGCAAACAACTATATTTCATGGTGATAGGACCGTTTCACTGTTTACAAACAGTGTGTTTAGAAAAAAAAACTTTTAACGATTTCGAGTATTTCATACTCGACTATTAGAGAGCTTAAAGCCGTCCCGTGGTCCGCGGTAGCAATCCCCCCTATGGTACAAAAGTGTGTTTAGAAAAACTTGTTCACGAATCTAGAGTACTAGGTACTCTACTATGGGAGAGCATAAAGCCGTCCCGAAGGCTTGTATTTCAAATAACATGTGTGTTTAGAAAAAAATGTTTAGCGATTGCAAGTACTTCGTATACTCAGCTATGGGAGAGCACTGAGCCGTCCTGGTAAAAGAACGAAACTCACGTATGGGAGCACACTACAGGGGGGGGGGGGGGGGGGTAGAAAAAGGGGTAATGATTTAGAGTACCGGGTACTCTACTATGTGAGAGCATAAAGCCGTCCCGCAACTACACTACAACATTAGTTGATGACATCTGGTTTCGTCCACTGATGTGCCAAATAGCATCGGTGGGCAAGAAGATCTTTAAAATATAGCCCACTGATTTTCTACACTTTTTTTCCTTTATTTGGCAAAATATATTCAAGTAAATGTTTTTTGAGCTACATAAAATTATAAAAGATTCCCTTGAACTCTACCCACGTTCCTTTTATCTGGAAAACTAAAGAGAAATATTTCTTACAATTAAAAGGAACTTGAAAACGTGATTTCAGTTTCAACGTTAGGAGCTGGTGATTGATGAGTCTGGATGTTTTCAGGGATACAACACCTGTGACCTTGAAAACGTCTATACCTTTCTCTCGCCCCCAACATCGCAATGGCCAGGGGAACGACACCTTCACGTGACTGCGGAGGATGACGCCCTCCTGAAGTTCCTGCGGGCTCGGAAGTTCAACGCGGACCGTGCTTTCAAGGTCGTCAAGAACTGCTTGAAGGTCCGAGAGGACAACCCGCAGATGTTAGATCACCTGAGCCCAAGTCGCATTCCATTCGATAGCGCCTGCCGAGAGCACGGTCTGGTGACGATGTCTCGCAAGACTGATCCCCAAGGACGGGGCGCTGTGATACTCAGATTCGGTAAGCGAAGTGCTAGTAGCAAGATGCCCTATTTAGCAATGTCTGGTGGGCTTGATATTTTGCTTAAGGAAAGTAAGTTAAACCTAGGATCGTAGGTAGTACATGTGTGATATAGCAAATTTAAGTGCTATAGCAACCCCGTGAAAGTGCTGCTGTAAAGCTTTGCGTCCCTCGCTGTACATGCAAGTACAGTGACGAAAAAGCGTACTCTTGCCCTTCTTCATGGCTTATATATATATATATATATATATATATATATATATATATATATATATATATATATATATATATATATATATATATATATATATATATATATATATATATATATATATATATATATATATATATTCTGAGCATCATTACTCATTCCATCTTTTCATTTGTACATACTCATCATCACCACTCCAGTTTAGGTTGTGGGGCACATACTCTAGTCAATAAAGGAGAGTCTTTAGGGTACTGGACGCCATCTTACAAGTGGTGGAGAGTGCTGCCCGATTCCTGCGTCCTCTCGCGCTCTCGGACAACCCCAGCGTCTTCTAGAACACATCCCTGGAGCTCCGTTCAGGCCGCCGCTTAAACGACCTGGGTTCGGTAATGTCGCAAGCCGACCAGCCCAGCGCAGCAGCTGCGCCACCGCTCCCACCGCCAAGAAACCCTTCTCACCTGGTCACCAGCCCTCAAAAGGATCCTCCGCTGTTCGCAGGGCTTCCGGGTGAGGACGTGGAAGACTGGCTCGAGGAGTATGACCGCGTGAGTGCCATCAACAACTGGGAGGAGCCTGCGAAACTCACCCACGTTGCATTCTACTTGAGCGGCGTCGCAAAAACGTGGTTTTTAAACCACGCTACAGATTTTTTGACATGGCCCGCCTTTACGCGCCAGCTCCGCCAGATTTTCGCCAACCCGTCAGTGCGCTCGGATATCGCCAAGAAAAGGCTTGGTGCACGTGTTCAACGACCCGGCGAGTCTTACACTTCTTACATTGAAGATGTTCTCGCCCTTTGCCGCCGCATCGACAACCATATGGCGGAAAACGACCGTGTGCGCCACCTGCTAAAAGGCATTGCGACTGTCGCTTTTAAAACGCTTGTGGTGCAGAATCCCCAGACCATAGCCGATGTTGTAGCTACCTGTCAGCGCCTCGAGGAGCTTCAAACCACTCGGGTGCAACCTGATATGCCTGATCTCATCTCGAGTCATGAAACAACAGAGCTGCGTGCATTAATCCGCTCTATCATCCGCGAGGAACTTCATGCGCAGGCTTCACCTCGCCACCTTGATATTCGAACGACGCCACCTGCTACAAGTTCACGCGACGTCGTGAGGGAGGAACTGGCCTTGATCACAGGCACACCAGTTCCGAGCTCACATTCCGTGCCCATGCCAAGTTATGCTCACGTTGCTGCAACGATGCCTGCGCCCCACCAAAGCCTGGCCTCGATGACTGTCACACCTGCTCCGAGTACATATCCTGTGGCCATGCCAACGTATGCTCAGGTTGCTGCTAGGACACCTGCACCCCAGCACAGCCCAATGCAGCTACCAGCGCCCGATGTGCATGGTTCGCTCAACTCGCTCGCACCACGACCATCTTCCCAGCCTTACAACACCTGGCGCACTACACGACCGACTTGCTTTTATTGCGGCATCCGTGGTCATATTTCAAGGTTTTGCCGACGCCGTCAACAAGACGAAAGACGAAGCTACGGTGACTATGAACGGGACGACTTCTACCGAACTGGACCACCGTATCGCCGACTGTATCAGAACAGCACACGCCGGTCGCCGTCTCCGCAGAACTTTGCCTCAGTTGGCAGTTCCCGTTTCTCACGTCGTCGCTCACCTTCACCGATGCGGCGTTCCTCCTCTCCCCTTCGACCTTCTACTTCGATTCCCGACCGCCAACTGAAAAACCAAACAGTGCAGCTTCGGGAGGGAAAGCTGCATCTTTCGAACTGCGTCAAACTCCTCCAGACCGCCCATCAAATGTTTTATTGGTGTATGTTGAAGGTATACAGACAGAGGCACTAGTAGACACAGGCGCATCACTTTCCGTAATTCGTGCAGACTTTTGTGCCCGCTTGAAAAAAGTTAGGACGCCATACGATGGCCCTCCTCTTCGTTGCGCAGATGGAGTCCCTTATTCAGCCTTCAAGTGTTTGTACAGTCCGCGTTTTCATAGATGGCATCCTTCACCACATTCAGTTTCTTGTACTTCCCTTGTGCACTCACACAGTCATTTTAGGATGGGACTTCCTTTCTTCGGCATCAGCTTTCATATCGTGTCGTCAGCGAGTAATTCATATGTCAGCTACTGAGAGTTCATCTGATGTCGATCCATACAGCTTTTGTTTCGTTGCTGCCGCGGATTGTTTCATTTCGCCAGGAGATGAACGAATTCTCACGACCGCTTCAGATACTATAGTTAACGGTGACGTGTTCATTGCTCCATCAGTTCGCTCCGAACCTGCGGGGCTTACCATTGCACCAGGCCTTGTGCGGTTTAACGACGGTAAGGCATTGGTCACCGCCTTGAATCCAACTTCTTCGCCAGGGATGCTGCCCCAGGGCACTGCTGTGAGCTGCTTCGCTGACAGCGAGCCTTTTTGGCTGGTTCCTCTTCACGCAGAATCACCGCCTTTGTCTGCTACAACCGATACCAAGGCAACCACTGCTGCTTTAAATGCTACCAGAAGTCCTCACCTCACTGCTGAGCAAAAGAGAGACCTCTTAGACATTCTCCAAAAGCACAGCTTTTCGTTCGACGTACATTCCAAAGCTTTGGGCCGCACCTCTGTTGCAGAGCACAGCATCGAAACCGAAGGCAGATCCATTGTGCGCCGCCACCCATACCGTCTGTCTTCGGCGGAACGGCAAATGATTGAGGAAAACGTCGCCAAAATGCTCAAACGGGATATTATTCGACCTTCATCCAGCTCTTGGTCGTCTCCTGTGGTGTTGGTCCGGAAAAAGGATGGCTCTGTCAGCTTTTGTGTTGATTACAGAGCGCTCAATAAGATAACGAAAAAAGATGTATATCTGTTGCCACGCATAGATGATGCCCTGGACTCCCTACAAGGCGCAGAATATTTCTCCAGCCTTGACCTTCGATCCGGGTATTGGCAAATACCTATGCGCGAAGCAGACAAGGAGAAAACAGCGTTTGCAACGCCTGACGGGCTTTACGAGTTCAACGTCATGCCTTTTGGCTTATGCAACGCTCCAGCAACGTTCGAGCGCATGATAGATACTGTCTTACGCGGTCTCAAGTGAAAAACCTGCTTATGCTATTTGGACGACATCGTAATTTATTCTTCTACTTTTCCTCAGCACCTTAAGCGTTTGGACGAAGTTCTTACGTGCATTTCGAACGCTGGGCTTCAGCTCAATACAATGAAGTGTCACTTCGCCAGCAGGAGCATCAAAGTATTGGGTCACCTTGTCGGCAAAGATGGCGTTCGACCCGACACCGACAAGGTTGCTGCCGTAATTAATTTTCCACGTCCGGGCAATCAAAAACAATTGCGAAGTTTCCTGGGCCTGGCGTCTTACTTCCGCCGCTTTATCAGTCACTTTGCTGCCATTGCCGGGCCGTTACACAAGCTTCTGACGTCAGGAACGGCCTTCACTTAGACTGACGAGTGCGAGTGTGCTTTCCAAGCCCTTAAACGTGCTTTGGCATCAGACCCCGTCCTCCGTCACTTCGATGAGAGCGCACCCACTTTCGTTCACACAGATGCCAGCGGCCACGGAATCGGTGCCGTCCTCCTCCAGCGCGACGACACTTCACGTGAGCGAGTAGTTGCGTATGCCAGCCGCGCACTAACACCTGCGGAGCAGACCTACTCGATAACAGAGCAGGAATGTCTTGCTGTCGTTTGGGCCATCTAGAAGTTTCGACCTTATCTGTATGGACGCCACTTCACTGTCATTACCGACCACCATGCCCTATGTTGGTTGTCCTCGCTAAAGAATTTGTCTAGGCGACTCGGTCGCTGGATACTCCGTTTGCAAGAGTACACTTTTGACGTTGTGTACAGGTCTGGCAAACAGCATCAGGATGCCGACGCTCTCTCTCGCTGCCCTCTGCCACTTTCATCTCCAACCACGCATCCTCGATGCCCCTCAGGTGATCAAGCGGCTTCCTCTGCACTCACGTTATCACCTCTAGCAGTTGCTGGGTCACTATCTTTAAACAGCAGCACTCAGTTTGCCGCGTGCCAACGTGACGACCCATGCTGTAACCGCATCATCGGGTACTTGAATGACTCGCCTTCTCCACCTAATGCCAGACTACGTCTTCAGCTACGGCAGTTCCAGCTAGACAACAATGTCCTGCAGCGCTATACTTACAATGCGGATGGGCATCGGTGGGTGCCAGTACTTCCCCGTTCACTGCGAAAACAAGTTCTCGAAGCACTCCACGACGACCCATCAGCGGGACACTTGGGATTTCAGAAGACCTACAACCGCGTTAGGAGCCGTTTCTTCTGGCCTGGTCTTTCTACCTTTGTGGCTAATTATGTCGCTTCTTGTGCACTGTGTCAACGCCGGAAACGACCAACTTCTGCTCCTGCTGGATTATTACAACCCATTCCATGTCCCGATACACCTTTTGTCGTCGGATTAGACCTCGTCGGACCACTTCCCGTAACGCCAGCGGGCCACCACTGGATCGTCACAGCCGTCGACCACCTCACACGATACGCGGAGACCGCTCCTATACGCACTAGCTCCGCCTCAGACGTTGCCGCCTTCTTTTTAGAAGCCATTGTGCTGCGTCATGGTGCACCTCGCACGTTGTTGAGTGACCGGGGCAAGGCCTTCATGTCGACAATTCTTGACGAAATTCTAAAAACTTGTGGCACAGTTCATAAGACCACATCCGCTTACCACCCGCAGACAAATGGCCTGACAGAGCGATTCCACCGGACTCTAATCGACATGATATCCATGTACATCGGACCGAACCACGATAACTGGGACAAAATCTTGCCGTTCCTAACGTTTGCACACAACACCGCTGTTCAACGAACCACCGGGTATTCACCTTTCTTCCTCGTCTATGGTCGTGCGCTAACATTCACTATTGACGCCTCTTTCTTCAATGTAACGACAAAAACGTCCACGACTACGCCAGAAAATTTCGTCTCCAGGCTCGTTGACGCACGGCAACGTGCGCAACTCAACACGGAGGCTAGTCAACTAGACCGCAAGCAACGCTATGACAGCTTTCATCGAGACGTCACCTTCCGTCCTGGAGATGAAGTACTACTTTGGACACCTGTTCGTACACCCGGATTGTGTGAAAAGTTTCAGTCACGCTTTCTCGGGCCTTACGTTGTTAGTGAACGAACATCTCCTGTCAATTACCTCGTCACTCCCGTCGAGGGTTCCTCGGACCGTCGTTACCGTGCATCCGAGATAGTTCACGTTTCACGCCTTAAACCCTTTGTTCGCCGTACCTTTCCCGCCTAAGTCTCGGCCGGGCCGGCCGCTCAAGTGCGCGGGGAAAATAAGTGTGAGCATCATTACTCATTCCATCTTTTCATCTGTACATACTCATCATTACCACTCCTGTTTAGGTTGTGAGGCACATACTCGAGACAATAAAGGAGAGTCTAATACTGGACGCCATCTTACAATATATATATATATATATATATATATATATATATATATATATATATATATATATATATATATATATATGAGATGATTATAACACTGCTTCAACTCAGAAGCTAGTGTGCTACAAACAGTGGCCATTAAAGCTTGTATATTTTATGGGCGATGCTTTTTGAGGCGTAGGCAAGTCCGGCGTTCTCGTAGCCACCTCTAGTTCCCGGAGTGTTCACTGAGTGGCGCTGCGGAACCATGCATAAGCGCACATAGTGTAATAAGAGATCACTAGATGGCTCTCGCGCGCATAGGTGAATTGAATACGAGATGCCCCTGCGGCGCCCGAGTGATAGGAGACCACCCACGTTCGCTGTTGCTTCAAAATTTGTTCGCTCTTGGCGGTCTTCCTCTTTCACCAGCAGTTTCTGTGCTTCAAGTATGACTGACGAAGACGAAGCGGCAGAGCGGAGGGCTCGAAAAATGGCTGCAGCGCATGCTCGCCGTTTTTACATGATGATCGAGCGGGTCAATTTTTCGAGGAGGAGGGAGGAGGAAAAAACCTTTATTGATGCTGGCTGTGCCAGATAGCCCTTATCCCCACCGGGCTGGTTGACATCCCTAGTCCGGGACGTCATTAGTCGAGGCCGCCACCCGAGCCCGCTGAACTAGAGTTCGCTGTTCCTCTAGTGTGGAGCTATTGAGTAGGGTCGTCTCCCAGTCCTCTTTGGTGGGGTTGGGAAAGGGGGTTCATTTTGGGTTCATTTGGCAGGCCCAGACCATATGGTAAGTGTTGGCCACTTCCCCACAGTACTGACACTGCCCACTTGTTTTTGGGTCGTAATATTTTAGTATGGCTGGACAGAGCAGCGTATTTGTCTGTAGGCGCCGCAGGATGCGCTCCTCCGTTTTCGAGAGTCCCTTCGCTGGTGCGGGATACAAGCGGCGTTGCTCAATGTAGTATTCTTTGATTTCTCGAAACCGTGTTAAAGGTGTGGGGCGTTCAGGTCTATCAGGGGAACGCGGAGTTTCCCGGGAAGTAAGCACGCGGGCCGCTGCATGTGCAGCCTCGTTACCCTGTAGACCCTGATGTCCCGGAGTCCATATAAGACGTTTTGGGGTAGGATCGCGGTTCCTGATGCTGAATTTTAAAAGTCTATTAGCCAATGAAGAGATTTCTCCTCGAGCCTGCGAGAGCAAGATAGCCTGCGAGAGCAAGATAGCTCTCGCAGGCTCTTCGAGAGTCTGTAACTATTTGTTTTGAGTTTGGATGGGATACTGCCAGTGCAATGGCCACCTCCTCCGCCTTACTTGAGCTTGTGGCTTTGAAAGTGAGGCCGTCCACCTGCGTTCCTTAATTTTTCGAAAGATTCACGTGTCCGAAGCTTCGCCCACTTATCATCATTCACCCCGTTGATATGCTGTCACTTTTACTGCAATATCTTGTTGGAAACAACTCACAGAATGCCCTTAAGAATTCATCTTAGACCACTGCACGGTGAAAGCAACTTTTTTTTTTGTCGACTTAGTCGACGCAATAATCCTGCCCCACCTCTCCTCTGAAAGCTTTAGGCACATGATATGGTTTTGAATTGCCTTCAGAATCCTAGCCATCGCAAGCTTTGTGAACCTCGCCTAGCCTAGGATGGGCCGACTTTTGACCAAGAGATTATTTGATGTGTTGATGTCACCATGTCATTGCAGTAAAGTGGGCAAATGAGTATTCATTCATTACGTACGGCGCAAAAAGAATGAGAAAACTTACGAAGGCACACATAAGGCACATGTGTCTATCTTATGTGTGCCTTAAGTTTTCTTGTTCTTTTCGCGCTGTAGTGTAATGAAATAGAGAGTCATAATGTGACCTCACGTTATGCGATGCCACAGTAACAATATGATGACATCATCTTAGCGTGTAAGTATTAGCGATTACGCTTACCACAAAAAATGTGTATCCTAATAATGTTGTTACGATGCCTTTATATGCAAGACAAACAATGTGCGTATAATTCTTGTATAACGAAAGAAATGCAGTACGTTGATGTCCATTGGCGAGAAGTGTACTGATAGGAATTTCTCTTTTCGCTTCACTGTTTCTTTTTCTTTCTTACCATATTTTGCTTTTATTGCGCTTTACATGAAATTTCATGCTCTCTCCTACGTAATCCCCATGTTGGGCCCTTAGGGTAAATAAATGAAAAAAAAATATGATGGCATCATCGTATCATGAATTCTTGCGTCACTCGTGTTGAATCCGCCAACGCCGATGGTCAATTTTCACGTTTCGCACTTAAGGCTTTTATCTTTGAGGAGTATTTTATTCAAACGGTCATCAGACGTCATAATTTTATTGTGCTATTCTAGTTTTATATTGCGCGTCTGCTTAGACTATGCTCTGAACTGTCTGCGTTCAGATTGAGCCACTTTCTTGTTCTTCACAGGTGCCTGGAACACAGATGTGTGCTCGCTTAATGACTACTTCAGAGTGTGTCATAGTGCATGCCATGTACCTTATCCACCAGGAGCAGTTCCAAGTCAAAGGTGTCGTTATCGTCTTGGACCTGAAGGGTCTCGGCGTCTACCACATGGCCCATTACACACCGTATAACATCTTCAGTCTCGTACAGGTGAGTCAGGGACGCCTTCTGTCAGTAGCTGCGGTGCACTTTGTGAACAACGTCTGTCTTTCAGCGAAGGCTGTCTGTCTCAGTGGAACAGTGGCTAGGGTGCTCGTTCCTGACCCGAAAATCGCGGGTTCCCTCCCGGCCGCCACGGTCGCATTTAGATGGAGGCGTAAGGCTAGAAGCCCGTGTACTATGTGATGGCAGTGCCCGTTAAACAACAACACATGGCCAAAGTTTCCGGAGCCATCACTACAGCGTCTCTCATAATCATGTCATGGTTTCGGGACGTATAACCCAAGATATTTTTAAATGCGAAGTATTTCTTGGCGAACTTCGGCGACTTTGAGCGTATCTATCTATCTATCTATCTATCTATCTATCTATCTATCTATCTATCTATCTATCTATCTATCTATCTATCTATCTATCTATCTATCTATCTATCCACCAACGACTTTTAGCTCTCTGGGCCGTTTCAATAACGGTATCGATACCAAACTTGGTATGGCATAACATGACTGTATGAAGAACATACTTGACTAGTCATAACATGAAAATCATGACCTGAATGTCATGAATGTCATAATTTTCATTTCATGGTACTGCAGCTCTGGCGGTGGTTTCGTTCTCATGGCATGTTGCAAAACTGGTATGGTATGGCATGATTGCATAGCGAACACAAGCGACAGACACTAGCATGATAATCATGAGATGCGTGTCATGTAACAACATGACTACATGCCACGCTCATGATGCGCTGGTGGCCGTTTCGCTAGCTTCACTTATACCAAATTGGGCATTACGGGACGTGAATGGATGACAAAGGTATGATACTGGTGCAAACGTGATAAACATGAGATGCATGCCATGTAACAACATGACTACATGCCACGCTCATGATGCGTTAACGGCCGGTTTGCTAGCTTCACATGTATCAAACTTGATATTACGCGACGCGAACGGACGACATAGGCAAATCACTCATCCAAACATGATAATCACGACATGCGTGTCATGTAACAACATGAGTATACATGTCACACTGGTGATGCGCTCGCGGCCGTTTCGCTAGCTTCACATATGCCAAATTTGGCATTACGTCACGTCAATGGAGGACGAAGGTATGTGAGGGGTGCAAACATGATAATCATGAGATGCATGTCATGTGAGAACATGACTACATGCCACAGCCAAGGCGCCAATACATTTCGACGTGACGCGGTGCGCGTGCTCACCGGCGCTCATTTCGTCGCGTCACGCCGGCGTTGCCACGCTAAGCGCCTGTCCTGCTATATACTCGCAGGCGCACGCCGCGCTGCGTTGCTTTGACTCACGCGCTTTTCAGCGCGTCCGGCGTCCCTCCGTCACGTAAAAAGGGAGACGCAGTGTTGTCTGGGTAACGCATCGGCGCGGCATACAGCATGTCGTGTTTCGCGCCGGTTGCCGCCGGGCCGTGCTGACAGACGCTGGTCGCGACTTGCGTCAGACTGTAGAGTGATCTGTGTGTTTGGAAAAAGTTGATAACGATTTAGGGTTCCTGCAGTGGTACTCTAGTATGGGGGAGCAAAAAGCCATACCATGGGCCCCACCCACAACGTGGGTGGAACTTATTCTGCTTAGCCCTGTAACCGGCTACAAGCAACTGTGTGTTTAGAAAAAGTGGTTAACGATTTGGAGTACTCGGTACTCTACTATAGGAGAGCTGCAAGCCGTCCCTCTCTTATTCCTAGAAGTGGGTACGCTTTGAAAGCTCCAACATTTTCGACACAATGTGGGGGGGGGGGGTAGAAAACAGTCGGTAACGATTTAGAGTATACAGGGTACTCGACTATGAGAGAGCATAAAGCCTTCCCGTGATCACCGAAATTGAAGCTACTGAGTTGCGACTGAACCGGACATCCCTAGGCTTCGTAGAGTTTGGTTGCGGTTTCGTATAAAAGCTTGGGCGTTGGCAACTGTACGGCAATACGACCCGCAAATGTGTGCCGGTTGCATGCATATTTGTTTGAGTCGTTTTCTAATAATTGACGCTATATATATCGCGGGGTTTTGGCGATCAGTCGTATGTGATATGGCGACCCACTTTTTTATCGAAGTCACTTGTCATCTCACGTTTCCACATCTCACTGTGGCCAGAATAGGAACGCGTAACTTTTGTTAATACCCGCAGCAATTGAAGTACCGTGTTGTTAGGCTTGTAAACGAAGGCTTAACCTTCCGCATCGCACAATTTGAAAAGAAAGAAAGAAAGAAAGAAAGAAAGAAAGAAAGAAAGAAAGAAAGAAAGAAAGAAAGAGAATAAAAAAGAAAGAGAGAGAGATAAATAGAGCGTCACTATAAGGTCCCTAGATGAAACAAGTTTCATCCAGGAACCTTAGTTCCCTCATGCCAATACCACCTAGAAAAATATTGCTCATGCACACGCCAAGCGTCCCTTACCCCCATTTTTTTTTTTTTTGAAACGGCAAACGCCCCTTAATTTTCTCTAATAAGCGAAAGTGTTCCACAGCGACGAATACTAGCTTTACGCTTTTCAAGAAGAATTAAATTAGGTAAAATGATTAGTCACACTCTATCGTCTCCGCGACTCTTTTTAAGTGAGAATACACTTTATAAGCGACCCCAAACCATCCACCGCCGTCGGCGGCGTCCGCAGTCTTCTCTATATGTTTAAAAGAAAGAGGACTTGGCGGGCCGCAGCGCGACGCTCTACCGAATAAGCCACGGACGCGACGCTGATATCGGTGTCAGTAACGCGCCTTATACCCCCTCCCCCTTCGCTCGCTCCTCCGCTCTCCTCGCTCGCTGCAGCTGCGCGCGCACCCCTCTCTCTCGCGCGCCCGCCTTCTCTCTCAGTCTCCCGTCGAGAGCGGGTCGTGAGGGGGAGTAAAGTTAAAATCCGTTGGCATTCGCCAGTGAGTTAACGTAAACTCCCCCGTGTGATCAAATTGCGATTCCCAGGAACCATTACACCATAAAGGCACCATAGTGTGATTAATAAATATAATAGTGCGAATTAATAAATACCCCTCATAGCATCACCCCGTGTATTCGCACTTAACCATGTTCACCCTCGGGGAAATGCTTGGGAGTTTTTTTTATTGTCTCCCCCGCCTCTCGTAATAAAGTAACTCTGTAAAAATCTGAAGGCAAAGAAGAATTTGTGCCCTAATTTATCAAATTGGTTATATGTCAAAAGTGCATTTGCACAATTTCGCAGCCATAGGTCAATTGTGAAATATGATGGAAGTGAAGTGCTATAGGCCTGTGTACTTAGGTTTAGTCACTGAGCTTGCTAAAGAGCCATAGGAGGTCGAAATTTTTGGAGCCCTGCACTACGGCGAGCCCAAGGAGTATAACCTCCTTGGGCGAGCCTCATGATCAGATTGTGGCGTTGGCACGCAAGACAACCAATCTTTCAAATAATATTACATAACCAGCATGACAGAGTAATGGTTGCGTAGGAAAAGAAATTCTGGCCAAGTACAGACGTTCTGCGTGTATATTAATATTTTATTTTATTTTTGTTTTACATACTGTGGCCCTGTAGAAGGGCTATTACAGGAGTGGGATTATACATGGCAGAAAAAAATTGGAACAGAAAAGATACGTGGCAAGTAACAACAAAACAACAACAAAAAACTTTGATAATAATAAAGGGATGACGCTTTTGTTATATAATGATTTTCAACAAGAATAGTCATATATTTATTCAGGAGGAGAGATTGAATCTGACGCCGTATGTATTGCCGACGATTTCATTTGGATCAATGGATAATGAGGAATGCGCTTTTCTTTTCCTCAGGGCTGCTTTCCCCTTCGAATCAAAGGAGTGTACATCATCAACAACCCGGCGATATTTGAACTATTCTTCGCCATCGATAAGCATTTCATGAAGTCGAAACTGATGCAAAGGGTAAGAGGCGCTATATATCACCCCGTTTTGCGGATGTGTAGTTTTCTTGTCATTCAAAGCCTGGAACGTTCACGCTTCCAGATGCGTTTCATGCGCGACAACGTCGACAAACTACACAGCCTCGTTCCCGATGACGTCGTAGCCGAGGAGCATGGATCCAGGCACGAACGAGAGCTACGACTACGACGTCATGGAGAAGAAACTTCTACAAGAGGAGGAATTCTTCACAAATCTGAACTCTTACGGGTGTCGCAAGAAGTGTAAAGGCAGTGTTTGAGCAGTGTGTCGTACAAGACGTATGGAACGCTGCCAACTGATGAGTATACTGTGCATACGGTTGTTGGAGTCTTCAAAGGCGGCGACTCAATGAACAGTCACCTTTCCGAATAACAGAAACGCATGGCCTTGAATTCACTAAAAAGAGTGTAGCTTGATCAATTTTCAACAATCTGCTGTCAGCAGTTGAAAATACTTGTAGCTAGGCGCAAGTCGATGTTAACTGAAATAAAAAAAATACAAAATCACATATCCGGATTCGTGAAGACCCTAGTGTTCACCATTTAACCCCTATTTCAAATATTAGATTTTCACATATACCGAAACGCTTTCTTTTATTCTTTGTGGCCTGTTCAACTAAACGTGGCTGACCCGGTGGTATTCGGTCAAACTGGTTAAGCAGACGAGAAACTGTAGAACAGCACGACAAACAGTTTCAAGACTACTATGATCTTGTAATCACCATGATCTCTGTAGTGACCACAGAAAACAAAGAGAAAGCCTGCTTTAATATTCAGTAAGCACAAATTTCTGGGATAACTGTCTTGATACTACTGGGAGCATATTGCGTCAGTGTAACGCACCACACTCATATTAATAGCCCAATAGTTATACTAACCCGAGCTATAATGGTGTCCTTTGAGAGCGTTTAATGTGAATTGAAGCTACACGTCATCTTCTAACCAGGTAAAGACGTGTTATGATAAGGTTATCTGTACGACTCTGAACTAAACTATAGCTTCAAGCAACGCCAAGTGCATTATGAAGTCCGAGCCACGCCTCATTTCTTGGAAACGTTGAACGCTGCCCCCAGGGGCTGGGTCATTCTTATTAAAGACCACTGCACAAAAAGGTATTATTGAAGGACAATGAATGTCCGTTTCGTACATCTTCCTGTATTCTGGAGCTAGACTTGCAATGCCACTTTAGATGGTAGGGTCTTTACCTTTTCGTCACGAAAACTCACAGAAGGGAACATCACCGGAAGCATGAAGTTTTGTGTCTATGTTTCAGGACACCAAGTCATCGTTTATTTGCATTTTCATTACTTTTCATTTTGAATCAATGAATGAGGAATGTTTATTCCAGCAAAATAGAAGATGTGGCCGTCGAGCTAACAGCTAGAATGGCAGCTTGACAAGAGAGAGAAATAGATAAACGTTTATCACACGTACATTACTTCGCAGCGTGCACTTTTCTGTCAGGCAATATAGTCCGCCAACACCGTAAAACTGTGAGTACTTATCGGTCGTAGCTAACGATTTCATTTTGTGAATTTCACTAAATGGGGGGGGGGGGGGGGGTGTGTGATTTCCTCCCCACAGACACTGTTTTCGCGGGGAGGCTGTGACAGGTTCAATTATTGCGTAGTTAGTTGTGTGCAAGGTCTTCCCAATTCAATGTAGTCTTCCTTCATCAGAAAATAAACTACTTACAATACATATAATTGCCTTTTTTTTTCTGACATCTTGTTTCATCATTGCACCCCATGCTGCACTGTATGTTTCGAGGAGATATAAAGTTTTGTTATAGGAGCCGATATAAACGGGAAGACGTACCATTCCACGTGTGGATGGTCTGTGGTAGCGATCACGTGTTATGCGCGTTACAAATGAGGCTTATTGAAGTTGTGGGTCGTCAGAACTGCAGGACATGGTCCAAACTTTGACTTGAACTTCATTTTTACCTAAGCTGCAAGGGTATCGCCAACGGAAAGGTGAAAGACATTCATACAGGCAATTAAAAAAAAATAGTATGAAAATAGAAGTTATTCGATATTTTACAAACACTACCAGAGCGCGAAAAGCAAGTTGTTTTCCATACCAAAGACGTGAATCACAAGCTAACGTCTTGTCGGTTCACACATTAATATTTTTGCTTCATTTTTGGGTAATGTGACTTGCTGCCCTGTCTACTCCTTAGTGTGTCCTTGTACCTTGGCAATTTTCTTTGACTGCAAGAGAGGCAAGGAATGCAAATTCCAAGTGTTGTGCAAGCTACTTGCAAATGCACGCGCATGACCAGCTGGGTGCTTGCGTTTTAATAGCGTCGTGTTGAAAACCTCTGCCATCAGCGAGTCCAAATCAGCGGTGTTGTGTCATAAGCCTTACTATTTTTTGCATACTCTTTGTTGACTCTGACGTTAACGCCAAACTAGTGTCGATAAAGGCGCAAATACCTCGAACAATAAAGAGAAATCAGTGAAGTTGGTTGTGTTACGTGAATGTGTAAGGCAATTCCATGATATTTTTAAATACTGGTTTCCCGCCGTGGGGCCTAGTGGTTGTGGTGCTTGAGTGCTGACCCGAAGGTTACGGAATCTAAATCCAAGACGTGGCGGTCACATTTAGAATGTGCTTATCTGTAACATTTAGATTCAAGTTCACGTTAAAGAACGCCAAATGGTCAAAATTTTCATAGCCCTCCACTACATCGTTCTCATACCCATACCATGGCTTCGGAATTTCGCTACTATTAATAATATTATTAGTAGTAGTAGTAATAGTAGTATTAATAGTAATACTGGTCATATTAGGACTACTACTACTACTAATATTAGTAGTAGTAGTAGTAGTAGTAGTAGTAGTAGTAGTAGTAGTAGTAGTAGTAGTAGTAGTAGTATCATGTAGAGGCTGTGCCAAGCAATTAGTTTTTCGGGAAGGTGCTCTGATAGCTTTGCTCTATAATATTTACGAGTTCTTGCGCACTTTCAGCCATCAACGGCACATCTTCTTCCACAACGCTGCCGATTCATTTCTATTTTTTTTTTTTTCTAGATGAAGCTTGTTTGGTCTAATAAAGTTACGGGGTTCTCCCATATTAAGAAGAAAGCTAAAATTAAAGAAAGTTCGAAGAAAGTCTTGATAGTCAAAACAAACTTAAAATTAAACACCGCCACCTACGTGTGTTTCCCTCCAATAGTCATTATTTTTGTTTTTCCTTTTCTAGCGGCCGATCAGTGTTGTGCTTGTTAGACGCTCGCTTAGGTAAGTCGCATTCTCGCTGTCTGCCTCACATAGCAGGAAAGGCTGCTGTCGCCGGTAACGCAAGATGCCGATCGCATCTCGAGGTGCCGCGTTTTCTGCTTTTATTTTTCCTTTTCGTTTTGCAACTCTCTATTCGTTGTTATTACTGTAGTTATATGAAGCGAGACGGTGCGTCAAAGAGTAAAACTGCTCGCGCGTAGATCCTCCCTTCAAGGCCGCTCTGTTGGCGTGCCCGCAGCTATTCCTATACGTATAAGCAATAGACTTGTTTTTTGGACCCTGACGTAGCTAGTTATTTCTAGGTAGTCGTAGTGCGCTTTCATAAGAGTTACGTAGTGCGCTGGAGATCAAGCGGCTCGACTCTTGAAAGTGTTGTAGTGTCTTGTTCGGCAGAAGTGGGCAGTTTTTCTACACGAAGGGATATCGGAAGACCGAGACAATTTGCGGTACGTAACCTTTTCCCCCATCATCGATTGTAAAGAAATCACCGGCCAAGCACTCCGTAGAAATGGTTAATCAGCAAAATATGTAGCGTTCGGCCCCGGTGTTTAGCAGTGGGCTCAACGTTACACTGCACTGAAGCCTTTCACAATTATTGTTTACATGATCATGCGGCCAAATGAGGTAGGGGTTCTCCATGATGATATCGGCGACCACCAGGGCACGTTGTACTAAAGCCTGGCAGGCCTCGGGAGGCCCGTCGCAAAGGGGATTGTCTCACAGCTCTATGTATGGTACGTAAGAGGTGCAGCATGAAGGGAAGGGGAGGAAAAAAATCACAACATATCCACGAAGTGAATGATGATGAGTGGGGCGAAGCATACGTCAGTCCATCCGTTCGTTCGTTTTTGCTTCCGTCGATACGTCCGTTCGTTCGTCAGTGCGTCTGTCTGTGCGTCCGTTTTCCTTCCGTTCATCCGTCTGTGCGTCTGTATGCTTGTCTGTGCAGCCGCCCGTCCATCCATAGTAAACACTCCAAGTACCACCATCTCGCATCTATTCATCATATATTCATCATATACAAGTACCGCCATCCAGCGGACATTCTAAGGATTAAACGAGAGGTGGCTATTACGATGACGATGACAATACGGGACATACGACCCACGGCGTAAGGAGCTTCGCCTACTCCACCGTGATATAGAATGCCGTTGGGGAGCCGCCAAAAGCCGGGCTAGAGTATGCGTAGTAGTCAGGGTAGAAGCCCCGCGGAAGCGAGCGCTCTCCCTGGCGAACAAGCTCCCGCAATCGTCACATTAACGCAGCAACGCCGCGTATTTGCCGGCGTTTGACATCGCGAGCTAACTCACAACGCAGCCAATGGCACGCGTGCTTGAGTACGACGCTGTGAACGACATAACTGATAATTCAAGTAATGCAGACCACTCTTGACACCGCGGCCGGACGGTTTTTCGTTTCTCCTAGTCGTTTACGGCTGTTGCTGTAAAGTAATGAACTTTAAGTGCAGTATTTTATGGTGGTGTAGAAGCCATACCCAGTAGTGAGCAATTGTTTGTATTATAGGTTAGCAAGATTATAGGTGCAACCTAGCAATGTAATCAACGTGTTTTTTTTTTCACAGCGACAGCCGTTATGAGATCAAAACTTGGGTCACGCGCGGCGCCGTATAGTTGTGCGCCGCCGCCGCTGGTGTCCGTAACCGCTATGGCAGAAATAAGGGGGAAAAAAAGCTATTACCAAGGACACAGTGGGAGTCCGCTGCGTGCCAGCCATGTATTCTACCACAGAGCTACGCTGGTGCTTGGGACTTTTTCAAAAACTTGCCTTAGGCAGGCTTCATATCGGGAAAGGAATCGCGTTAGTGCGAGTAATAAAGCGTTTTAGAGCAGCTAAAGAACAAACAGTCATCACATGATGTGAATAGCGTAGCGAGTGAGTCGTCCGATGCTCCAACACACTACACAAGCTTGTTCTTGATCACCTATTAACTGTGGCGCATACCCACTTCAGGCATAATCCCTCATCGTCGTCAGTCACTGCATGAACAATTGGCACAAAATTTATTGCAAGTGTTTAACGGATACCACGTTTTTTTCAGAAGAATGATGAGGGATAGCATAGCGAATGCCGGCCTACTACCCATAAAGTATTATATTAATGTTATAATGGGTACCCAGCAAGTGTGCTTGTAGCAGTTACCTCATGATTGTTTGGAAAAGGCTCTGAAAGGCCACTCTTGTAGCTTTCGCTGTAATTGTGCCGCGCCCTTCGCACAGACCGGGCGTTTTCTCTTGTCTCTGCAGGGTCATCCTTGAGTTAGGTTAAATTGAGGTAGCATACACCTGCCGAAGCATACGAAAAGTTTAAAGGTATATTCATTATAAAATTTTCATTTTGATTTGAATTTCATTGTGGCTTAAGAAATATCGAAGAACTAAACTTGGAATACTTTCCTAAAACTGGAGCAGTGATCTAACTGAAAGGGATATCATGAACCACACGCTAGCCAGCTACAAAGCACCACCCATTTGAATAAAAACACCAAAATTGTTTTGTTAGAAATCTGCTGGTCCGATTTGAACAAAATTTCATTCTTTAAGAAAGAAAGCTAACTTACTGGTACTGCAAGGAGCAAGACATTACCTAAGACACAAAGTTCTTCACAGAAAATTGGCAAGAAAAAATCACAGCATGTCCACTGACTGAATGATGATGAGTGGGCGAAGCATCCATCCGTCCGTTCGTGCATACGTCCGTCCGTCCAACCATGGGTCGATCTGTCCGTTCGTGCGTCTGTCCGTCTGTATGTCCGTGCATCCAGTGAACACAAGTACCACCATCTCGCATCTTTTTATCACGTATCGAACACATACATGTACCGCCATATAGCGGACATTTTAAGAACTAAACTACCCTCTGGCATATACCCAAGAGAAGGGGTCACTACAGAGGACGGTCAGGTGACACCTTAAGGAGCTTCTTTTCATCACATATTGATTATATACTGGTACCGTCATCTATCAGACATTCTAAAAAGTATCTTTTCGTCATATATTGATTATATACAAGTACAGTTATCTCGTAGACATTTCAAGAACTGAATTTTTCTGCGGCTCACACCCTAGAGAGATGTAGTTACTAGAGAGGACGATCGGGTGACGCCTTAAATAGCTTCGCCCTTAAAAAAAACGTTGCGGAAAACTTTTAATCATTCAATAAAAACAAATAACTCATACACTCTCGGAGCTGCATCTGTTAGATTATATCATCATCATCATCATCATCATCAGCCGGACTACGTCCACTGCAGGACAAAGGCCTCTCCCACGTTCCGCCAGTTAACCCGGTCCTGTGCTTGCTGCTGCCAATTTATACCCGCAAGCTTCTTAATCTCATCTGCCCACCTAACTTTCTGTCTCCCCCTAACCCGCTTGCCTTCTCTGGGAATCCAGAGAGTTACCCTTAATGACCAGCGGTTATCCTGTCTACGCGCTACATGCCCGGCCCATGTCCATTTCCTCTTCTTTATTTCAACTATGATATCCTTAACACCCGTTTGTTCCCTAATCCACTCTGCTCTCTTCTTGTCTCTTAAGGTTACACCTACCATTTTTCTTTTCATTGCTCGGTGCGTCGTCCTCAATTTAAGCTGAACCCTCTTTGTAAGTTAGACTATATAATACGAACCAATTTGATGCACGAATCTACAGATTTTAGTAAACTTACAACCACAGGAATCATGGCGATTACGCAAAGTTTCCAAAGGTTCTTAACGATACTCACTCACAGGCTTTTGTATATTTAAATATCACACACTGTATCAATGTGTCCCTGGACACAGTTTACAAAATTGTTATACTGAGTGCTAGTTTTGAGTCAGAGACAAAAGCTTCATACTTTTTTTAGGGAACTACCAGTTTTAAATAACAAGAGTATTTATATCAATGACCCAAAGAAAATTTTGCTTTCTTGCACCAATGCTATTTCACTGTATCTTTCAATTTCTTTTTAACAAATTCCATGTTACTGTTTAAAAGAAAAACAATTTTGTCGTTGACGTGCCTATAGATAGAAGGCCTCCGGCAAATCCCTTTGTTTTTACCGAGCGACATTTATTTGGTGCGGACAGGGAAGGTTTCTAGTCATTGCAATATCTAGTCAGGTATCCCCAACAAAACACGCATTTAACTACCCATTCGGTGTTTCTTGACGGGCCAGCGTTGAGAGATGCATGGTCCACAGCCATGAAATAGGACACTGTCTATGCCGCAACACAGCAGTTCATGTCACGCAGGAGGTCAAACCATGTTGCCCCTTTTGGTATTAGACTCTAGCGACATTCACAAATGCGCATTGCCGGTGTTTCATCGTACTGCAGCCTGCGACATGAGTGGGGTGAAACCAGAACCTATTGCTTCGCTGCTGGACTCCCCGGAAGATGTTGCGCGGAAGGAACTAGGGGAAACGCTCGAAGTAAGACAGAAGGCGCTGAATGAATTGCGTCAGCTTATTTCAGGTGAGAAGAAAGAGCGCCTAAGCCGGCAGCCGAAAATCATGCTTTAGACACTGCCTAACGCTAACTATATCGGTGACAATATCAACCTCTGTTTTCTACGGAAATTTCCAGAAGGTTGTCTGGTGCCGACATCTAGCAGCATTTTCAGCAAAATAGTTCAGTCAGCATGAGAATGATAGACCGTACGAGGATTCATTTTTGTACCTTCAAATGACTATGTGACTTCGCGAATTGATTCAGTCCTGCACGAAGTTTCTTTACAACACCAACAGTTCGTAACAACTGTACGTGTTTTTTCTTTCTTTTTAATTGCATGCATGAGTTTGCCTTACAGCATCAATATGCAGCTGCGCTTATTTCATGAACTACACAAACTTATTGCATTCCAATGTTTACAAGAATCAAATTTACGACATATTTCGTCAGATAAACACTTGGATAAAACGTCACCACAATGCCTGAATCAACTAGCATGAGCATTGTAGACGTCATGCTCATCATATGTAGCTGGTCAATTGTAACCCCGGGGCTCTGTGAAGCAATCTTTGCAGTAAACTATTAGCCGGAGAGTGAAACAGTAACTATTTATTAATGAAAGTGGGATTATGCATAAAGATGTAGCTCACAGCGAAGCACTTACATTACTAATGCTATCTAACAACCGCTAACGTTTTGGTTAAACTTTGGGGACAGGTTATAACGTGACTAAATTGCACAGCGGTGGAGAAAGGACGTCGCAACTGAGGTCAGCAGAATAATTGCGACGAGGTGGTACTTTTTAACATGCAGCAAGGTACAGTGCAACGGAAGTTCCGAACGTGTAGCCATCACTCCAACGCAAACACAAACAAAAGGCAGATCTACGCTCATGGAGCTTTCAACGGGAGCCCACATTTCCAGAAGGTCAAGTGGTTGAATGCACTTTGGGGGTCAAATTGATGTTCACACCCACTGAATATCTCTGAACTTGAAAGGTCAGAGTTTCTTGAGTTCTATAACGTACGACTATAAAGACGTTGCACTTGCGCTATCTTCAAGTTTTAGCTTTAATTAAACAAGGAGGAAAATAAAACACGCAGTTGCAAATGGCACGAGGCTAATTTTAGACGCTTTTTCTCTGCATACAGGTACATGTATCGATTGCGGCATAGATCTTCTGGCAATATGAAATTCAAGTTGGGCAATAAAATACAAGGTCACATCCTCTACAACAACGCAGGTTGCATATTTAGCATAAGATAATGGATACCCAACTTGGTGCAGTCTGGTCAATGTAATATTGCAAAGCCTGTAGTGGTGTTCAGTTCATAACATTTTTTCCCCCTTTTCTTGCGTATCTACTTCAACAAGATGAACCATCGTTGCGTTGTCCCACGGACGACGCCTTCTTGCTCAAGTTTCTACGGGTTCGCAAGTACGATACGCAGGCTGCTTTCAAGAGCGTCAAGAAGTACTTCAAGTTTCGAACGTACCATCCGGAAATGTTCAAAGATCTAGCTCCAAGCAAAATACCTTTCGACGCCGTGTGCCGCACGCATCGCCTGATCACGGTGTCTCGCCATAGAGATCCAATGGGAAGAATTGCTGTGATGCTGAAGACTGGTAAGCCCAGCGATGTCGACACCGGCTCCGCTTTGGTTCATTGTATTGGGCTTTGAATCTCACACCAGAAATAAACGAACGGGTGCACAACATTATGTTAACCAAGTTTCGAGAGGAAATCGTTACGGCGCTGTGCAGATGAGGGGAAAGCCATGATGCTGAAATCCGTATAGTTAGCCTGCCGGTGTATAATGGTATGGAGTGTTATAGGTTCTCAAAAAGCGGCAAAGTTATGCTGCGAGTGAGGATATAATTGATATGATAGAGCTCTGTCGGTAAATCACTCCGGAGAAAGGGGAATTAAAACGATGATTTGAAGAATAGTAAAAGAGTCTACGGATGCCATCATTTCTGTCCTTTAATGTGAGCGATTTAGCCGCAATTGTAGAAGTCTCTTCGTTGCTGAAAGGTCGTTACCATCGAGGGGGCGCTAAAGAGAATTGCACACACGCACACGCACTCACACACACACGCACACACGCGCACGCACACACGCACACGCACACGCACGCACACACACACACACACACACACACACACACACACACACACACACACACACACACACACCACACACACACACACACAAGCGTGCACCATGCACGCTCGCTATCAACCGGCTAAGGACGCAAGTGGAATTCAATATATCGTGTGCTCTTCGCCATTTCGTTCTCAAAATTAGCGTGTGCGGATCAACGATTGAACTTAGAAACTCATTATTGGTGTACTGAAAAAAACAGCGCAATGGAGCGGGTCATTACATTTCAGAAGTTGTAGGTGCACTTGCTCTGTTGATTGCATTGTTTCTTACTTACATGCATGTCATGATTTCCACGTTAGTGTCTGTCGCTTGTGTTCGCCATGCAATCATGTCATACCGTACCAGTTTTGCAACATGTCATGTGAACGCGACCACTGCAAGACAAGACCATGAAATGTAAATCATGACATTCATGACATACATATCATGATTATCATGTTATGACTAGTTAAATAAGCTCGACATACAGTCATGTTATGCCATACCAAGTTTGGTATTGATGCCATTATCCAAACGGCCAGAAGAGCTAAAAGTCGTAGGCGGCTAGGTAGGTAGGTAGGTAGGTAGGTAGGTAGGTAGGTAGGTAGGTAGGTAGGTAGGTAGGTAGGTAGGTAGGTAGGTAGGTAGGTAGGTAGGTAGGTAGGTAGGTAGGTAGGTAGGTAGGTAGGTAGGTAGGTAGGTAGATAGATAGATAGATAGATAGATAGATAGATAGATAGATAGATAGATAGATAGATAGATAGATAGATAGATAGATAGATAGATAGATAGATAGATAGATAGATAGATAGATAGATAGATAGATAGATAGATAGATAGATAGATAGATAGATAGATAGATAGATAGATAGATAGATAGATACGCTCAAAGTCACCGAAGTTCGATAAGAAATGCTTCGCATTTAAAAATAAAAAGTAAATAAATAAACAGATATCGGAGGGGAGTGCGTCACTTTCTATTGGAAACTATATCTGCACAATGGCGTGAAGGGGGAGAGCTCATAAAGGGGTATTCATACGGGTATAAATCTACGTGGTAGAAGCACGGATCGTGGATCACGTGACAAAGACCAAGTGCACGTACTAGTGAGTAGGCGAGACCAGGCGCGTAGCCAGAGTTTTATTTTCCGGGGGAAAGAGGGAGGGAGGCGCCTCCTTGATTTTGGAGGGCACCCCCCGTTGAAATGGTAATTTTTCGCTCTCTATGTCATGTCGAAAAAAATTCGTTGGGGGCGCACGGGTCTAGCGTGCCAACCCCTGGCTACGCCCACCGAGCGGGACCTATACCTGCGCATACTCGAAATAGATGGGGACTTTTTGACTGACAGGACAAACCATTCTCCCGCGGTGGGGTTTATAGCAGAATGTCAGGCCGGGGTTTGGCCACATTGCTGCGCTTGCTCCGGTAAACAGCGGCAGCCCGCTCGTGATTTCGTCGCCAGCGGCTCATAAAACGGGTGGTAGGAGCCACCAAAGTGGTCTGGTAACCCTGGCCTCCCCCTCCGTTCGCGCTCGTCCGTGTGAGCGGGCGGATATACGTGATCAATCCTCGCGTGCTGACGTCACTAGGCTCCTCCTTCGTGCCCCGATGATTTGTCCCCCTGTGAATACCCCTTAATGTTAATTCATGCGGGTTGCTCTGTAGCATTTTAACTTTCTGATGAAACTTTTCGCTTTCATCACCTGAATTTGTCTCAATTATTCTGGTTCTCCCCAGGCGCCTGGAGTAATGAAATCTGCACCTTGAACGACTTCTTCAGAGTGGCCTTTGTCTTATGCGACCACTTCCTCCTTCGTGAAGACTCTGTGCTTAATGGCCTCGTCGTCGTCCTAGATGTAAAGGGCATCGGCCTATATCATCTGACTCATTACACGCCCTCTGTTATAGGAACATTAATCAGTTATGTGCAGGTAAGCGCCCGGTGTTAACCTGCCGTGGTAGGTTAGCACCCAGAACACTAACGCGTTAACGTCTATAAGCATGCGAACGCGAGTTTGATTCACTAAGTGCAGAAGCATCCGTATATTTTCACTGAGGTGCAAATTCTATGAGCCACAGGTAGTGAATCTTAATGAAGCACGTGCGGAAATAACGCAACAGAGAATGAAGAACACAAAACGAACTTTGCTCGTCCAACTCACCGATCTTTCTAGCTCAGTGAATATCTTCCCGGAGTCTCACGCAGTATTGAGCGACTCATATTTGTATCGTAGTTTCGGCAAGTAAAACATGAGTGCGAGTTCCCTGTGAGTTCAACCTTATGGATGAAGCTTACCTCTTTTGATTCATTTCGAAAAATCTAAACGAGGATAACCAGTGATGAGGAGAAAACATCGACGACTACACAGAAGGCACTTCAATATAATGCACTTACGATGCGTAGGCCACGTAAATATAACCAAATATACTCGCAGCCGCGAGGTAATACCAACGTTTGGCAATGGCAGTGCTCGGTGAAAACGGAATGCCAATAATGCTTAAGGTCTTCATGGTACTCTCTCGCAGAAGGTTGAACACTATGAGCCACCAACGCCCGCGATGCCGCAAGTAAAGGAACGCGCGCTCATTGTAATGTTGTATTTGCTTGAGCTTTCAAAAGATCCTGAAATTCTGCTCATAATGTTTTGTCAGGGTATGCGCAAATAAACATTAAATAACCACCGCCACTCGTGCATCAGTAGTCTGTAGTGTTAAACTTATCCTACTGCTAATAACAAATACCTTGGAATTTCTAGAGTGCGATCCGTAATGTGTGCAATCAAGCTAGCCTAATATAATGAAATTGAAATTTAAGGACATCCATAGTTTCATGGGTTAATCAATCAATCAATCAATCAATCAATGAATCAACTTTATTTTCACCAAAAACAAAAACATTTACGGTGAAAAAAGGTGGCCGGGAAAAAAGCTGTCCAATGACAGCTTGACAAAGCCCCAGCCACCCATCGGTGGCGAAACGACAGGGTACAGCACCTGATAAAAGTGGGGAAAAAATGCATAATAATAGTCGCTAAACAGTTTCAAATTGATATCATAGTGCATTCACTACGGCCGCAGGTGCACTACAAGGTCAAATGTACCTAATTATACATTTGCTAAAGATAAATAACGAGGAAAAAAGAAAAAAAAGACGAAAAGAAAAACAAGGACAAAAAACAAAACAAAAATTAAAACAAAGCCAGAGAAGAAAAAAAACAAAAATGGAAAGAAATATATTAGGCACTTCAAGTACATTAAAATGTACAATGCGCAGTTATATACTGATATGCATGCGCATGATTCATATATATATATATATATATATATATATATATATATATATATATATATATATATATATATATATATATATATATATATATATATATATATATATATATATATCATATGAATAATGAAGGAAAAAGGAAAACACAATAACTTGAGAAACATGTGTATACTCCAATATTGGAAAAGGCAAGTTTGTTATGTGAACATATTTCTAATTTCTTTTTTTGTGTGGAATAAAACATCTGTTCCTTGCATTTCGAAATAGTTTAATGTTGTTGGGAGGATGTGTCGGGTGCGTTGTGTTCCATAGTGTATGCGTAAAAATGGAACGTGCCAAGGCGGTTGATATCGGACATGATAAGAAATTGCGTTTTGTGTAAGGTTCACGAGTTTAAGAAGTGAGTCCGATTTCCCGAGTGCTGCCTTTTTGTAGCAGCAAAGCAATTTGTAAGTATATAGATCTGATATTTTCACAATTTGATGCTGTTTGAAAAGAGGGGCGGTGTGTTCTAGAAAGGGAGCAATGGTTTTCATATGATCATAAGGTAATGTCATGAAATGTTTTGAAGGCATTACTTCAATGGCGAATTTTCGAGCATGCATTAGAATAATAACCGAAAACCTGCGTAAACCCATTTTAGGACTGTGTGCCCATACGCCTGAAAGCAGTGTACGTCATCAACAACCCTCAAATATTTGATTTGATCTTCGGAATCACCAAGACATTTCTTAAGGCGAAACTGGTAAATCGGGTAAGACTGGACTGCGTTATTTCTCTTTGATTTTTTTCATTGCCGTTCTCTTTTGTTTTGACCTTGTTAAAGCTTCGAAAAAAAAACACAATCAAACTAAATTCTGCGCCAAAGAACGTTGCTCGAAGGTTGAAAGTGACAATGGAAAGCAACCTTTTGGACAAGATAAGCTTGAGATAGTTGGTAGTCATTTGTGATAAAAGAAGGTATGCGCTTCACCACAGATACATAAGTGATCAAAGCACAAACGCCGATGTGTTTGTTTTGTCTCCTGTGCCACTGGTGCTCGCCTTACCTTCTTGTATGGCAAGCAAGGTTATGGGTTTGGTGCCGGCCGCAGGCAAGTTGTCTCTTCGTGCACTTTACTTACTTCACATCAATATCTCTGTTACTACAAACACTTAAACTATATAATTAACTTCCTTTATGTTTTAATCATTATCAGCCGGTGTTCATTAGTGTTGTGTCAAACAAATAAACAAAAAACGATCGAGACCTCAAAGCTGTCGCACTTTATTCAAGATTCTTGACAAGGCGTTCGTTTTTCAGTTTCGCTTCTTTGGATACGAACCAAACGGGCTGCACGAACTTGTTCCGGATGACGTCATTCCGGAGGAACACGGAGGGACTAACGAACGCTACAACTACGATCGGCTGGAGAGAGAGCTGGAGAGTGAAGAAGGTTACTTCCAGCAGCTGGGCTCTTACGGATACGGCGATACGCCAGCGAAGACTGAAGTTGAATCGAATGACTCGCTCAGTGAGGAGATTCAATTGAGCGAAGAATACGTGCATCTTTGAGGCATTTGGTATTTGCCTTGGTCATCCATTATGGGCAGGGCTCGCGACGTGGCGGAGAGGTATAGACCAATGTTTATCGATGTAGGAGCATCCCGATACGAGTCAGTTCACGACCCGAACGATCGAATTAAAGTTGTTCCATTGCATTCCATCACTGTTTTTCCAGCTTTTTTCTTCTTTCGTATTGAAAGTATCACCTGCATACGGATGAGAGGTGTTCAACAAAGTGAACTCCTTCTCATTTGCCACGTTATTAAAGTAGAAGGTCATGCTGGGGTTACCACATTTAACAACATGCATGTCCTAGGTGTACTTCTTATGTCAACACTGCAGTGTGTGGCGAACAAGAGTTTTGACGCTCAACGATATTTATGTCACCCACTCTGAGCATGTGGATAGGACGAGGTGTTGAACATGCCTGCAATAACTATATGGTTAGAGGCTCCTCATAGAAGATGGTAAGCTTGCGCCACGCACCCATAAACAGGAAACTGTAGCTTGGCTAAAAGTAAAGCTGCTGCCGTGATAAGCACTCGGATTGCGGCTGTAGCTTTCACTGAATGTGCGCGTGCTTAGCCCGTGAAGTGTCTTTTACAGCAGACCTGTTATGGTCGAAGTTCGCTGTGTGTCGTAGATAAAGAAAATGTCGTCTTGAACCAGCACACGCTTGATCATTATTCGCCCAAGCACTCGTTGTAGATGGTTAACAAGAGAACCAGAAACGTGTGGTCCCCAATTTGTGTATTGCCTAAGCATTGATTGATATGTGGGGTTTAACGTACGAAAACCACCGTATGATTATGAGAGACGCTCTACTGTAGGGCTCCGCAGATTTATACCACCTGCATGGGGTTCTTTAACGTGCACTCAAATCTGAGCACATGGGCCTAAAACATTTCCGCCTCCATCGAAAACGCAGCCGCCGCAGCCGGGATTCGATCCCGCCTTCTGCGGGTCAGCAGCCGAGTACCTTAGCCACTATAGACCACCGCGGTGAGGTTGCCTTAGCTTTGCCTTAACATTTAGTGCACCAGAGGGGGTGACTAGTGAGATTTGCCCAATTTGTGTGGCACATACGCTCAATAGGCAAGACAGAGAGATGATTTATTGGAAGGCAGAGAGGTCGGCCTGAGCTAGTGCGCTCTTACCTGCCACTCTTCACAGGAGATAAGGCAGAAGGGAAAAAAAAAGAGTGATGAGGGAAGGTAGTGGTGACAGAAAAAAAAGTTATGCGTATATACAGAACCATGAAACACAAACGTTTCGCTAGCCTGCTGTACAGTCCAGTACATTTAAGAAAATATATCATAATCCTGATAACACTTTTTGACGTCGTTTGGTCGCGCATTGCTGACAAAATGGCAGTCTCGCTTAGTGTTACTATACCATTTAGTTGAGACATGTACATACATGGGCCAGTCACACGATAGATGTGTAAAAGTCTCATCTAGACGGTAGCGTCCACAGTCCGAGCTGTCGCACGGCCGATAAGGTGCGCGACGCGTAGCGTCCTGTGAAGGTGACCCTCAGTCGAACCTTGTGTAGCAAACTGGCGCGGCTTCGTTTCATTTTAATCCGGAGGCGTGAAGTCACGCGAGGAAATTTTTCCCGCCGACGCCTATACCGATGGTCTGGGTTAGACCAGCAAGTCGTTGTGCCCCTCGCATAGCTGATATCATGAAAGCGTTCACGTTACCTCGCGAGCGTGGAATTTGTACATGGCAGCAAGAGCAAGCACAGCCACGTATGAAATAGTATAGTGAACAGTGTGAAACAGAGAGGTGAGAGGGTAAAAGCCTAGCCAAGCCAGGACCAGGAAGAGCCCACTAGCTCTGCTGAGAGCCAGACTGGTGCGACTTGGTGCAAGATGAGCTAATTTTTACAAGCTTTTCGTTACGCCTGTGCGTGCAAACAGGAATCATCACTATCATAAATCAGTACGCGATCGCTTCGTCCCCTCCATGCAGCTGGTGGGGGGGGGGGCAGTACCATTTAAGTTATGCACGATCTAAGCCAAGTGTTTGTTTCATCTTAGGAAAACAGTTAGCTTACGAATGGTTTCTCATCGAGATTGTTACAATTTGTTAGATTGCATGTACACTATCATTATGTAAATCAACCATGATTATGTCGTGTATGGGCAAGTCTGTTAGCTATTACATGTTTTGTTCTGCTAACTTTTTACTATGCTATTATTACTGAGACGAAGGTCTTTTATGGTTCCTTGGTAACATAAAATCCAGTGCCCGGCGTTGTCAACGTGACAGATGCCAAAAGTCACCTGTGGTGCGCAACAGTCTTTTTCGAGGGAAAATTAAGGTCAAATAAGAGTGAATTGAATGTAAACTAAAACAAACCAAGTGTGCTAAACGTTAACAGTGATCATTAAGTGGACAGGGTGAATCAAACGTGGATGAAGGTCCAGAAAAATGATAAAAAAATTATTGAAGATGATTTAAAATTAATTAGGCGTGACACACACGAAAGTTAATGTAATAAACGTGTTTCATTTGTTACGATTGCTCAAACGTTACAGGAATTTGGACAGAATTAAAATGAATAAAGAGGGAAAGATTCGCGCTTCAAGTGTGATTCAAACGGGAGAGCATATATAGGGTTTTATCTAAGCTATTTTCAGCGTTAAAGACAATGCCAATTTCTTGCAACAACTGCGTTTATATACGAGGGAAATGGACTATGCCTCAATTCATCCCTGCAGTTGGCCATATCACTCAGAATACCTCTGATGGATGATCATGCTGTCAACGTTATTGTTTCAGTGAATATCCAGTCACTAGCTTCACCAGCCGTGGTCACGTTTTTACGAGTAAACGGACTGCTCACAATGCTCCTACATCTAATTCTTCCTGAAGCAAGAGTTTAAAATAGAGATAATTGTGCACTATTGTGTCTTGCGACACTGCAACCGGCGGGAAACTTGAACAACGATCGACTACACAAAGGTTTGAGTCTCGTTTCACACCATAGCTTGTTTGGTTCCCATACCAAAATCGACAAAATATATACTGAGGACCATATATCGCTACCTTCTAACGTTTTAAGATTACTTATTTCAGTGGTGATTTTGTTATGTTTATCTATCTAAAACTAGTATTAAAAGCCGGAAGTTTGCGTGTGTATGCGTTGTTTTGGAGAAGTCAACTACAGGTTGAACTAGCGTGTAAGTGCCAAGACATCTTGCTGTGAAGACAATCTGTGGGCTAATGTATCACTCCTTCACGTAGCAAGTAAAAAAAAATATCACATTTTTCTTGGAAGGCTACTGAATGTGGTAGCAACAAATTAGAATGTCATACGAAGTAAGGTTAGCAGCTAACTTTTGGATTTGATCTCGCGTAGCTCCACAAAACATTGGTTTGAGCAAATTCGACCACTCCAGAGTGCGAAGCTGCCTGATACCTGAACGCGCAGTACGCGGTGAAATCACAGGCCACATACGGCTCGTCTAGTGGTGTTGGTGTACATTTCGCGTGCTCTATAGCTTTCGCGAAGCGCCCTAATAACCATAGTTCGCCCTTGCTTCAGTACGTACGAAGTCTCGGTTGCGACGGCGTTTATTCGAAACAAGGCGGGCAGTTGACCTTGAAAACAGGCTGCACAAACGCCTTCCTCCACAAGAGGAGGAGGTGTTGTCCAGAGGATCTTGTGTCGCATATGAACAGAGTGGGCCCACTTCCTGATCATTTCGATAGAATGCCTCAGTTGTGATAGAATGCCTCAGTTGTGATAGAATGCCTCAGATAGATAGATAGATAGATAGATAGATAGATAGATAGATAGATAGATAGATAGATAGATAGATAGATAGATAGATAGATAGATAGATAGATAGATAGATAGATAGATAGATAGATAGATAGATAGATAGATAGATAGATAGATAGATAGATAGATAGATAGATAGATAGATAGATAGATAGATAGATAGATAGATAGATAGATAGATAGATAGATAGATAGATAGATAGATAGATAGATAGATAGATAGATAGATAGATAGATAGATAGATAGATAGATAGATAGATAGATAGATAGATAGATAGATAGATAGATAGATAGATAGATAGATAGATAGATAGATAGATAGATAGATAGATAGATAGATAGATAGATAGATAGATAGATAGATAGATAGATAGATAGATAGATAAATAGATAGATAGATAGATACGCTCAAAGTCACCGAAGTTCGCTAAGAAATGCTTCGCATTTAATACTTTTGAGTGAAGAATACGCGCACTATTGAGGCGTAATGATTTGACGCGTTGAAATGTTCTTTTCTTTGAAATTGCAGCGGCGTGCCAACCAGAGCAGGCAAACCACTACATTGAAATTTCAAGTCGCATCAAGCTCGGGTATGAACGGTTGATGTGCATGCGTCGTATCCAAGGGGGCACACCGAATTCGTGTGTCCCCCCTTTCCTGAAATAAAGGAAATGCTCCGCCCCCGGTAACCCGAAAAAAAAAATTCATTTCTGTCTGCGCCCCTGGTTCACGCACGATCAATGTTTGCGCATTAGTAACTGGCGGCACTTTCCCGTCAAAAAAGAAAACCCAAGCCAAAAGAAGGCATGATACGCTTCCCTACATAATGCTCAGCGCCCACTATGCAGCCGTTGTTTCCGCTGTGCATGACTTTCCGTGAATGCGATGCTATAAAAAGGTCAGAGCTTGAAGCACCCAGTGTAAAATATATCATGCGTTGAAATAAGGTGAAGACGAATAACAAGAAATATTAACACCATGTTCCCAAAAGGAAACCTGGAGCGATGCGAAGAAGCAGCGTTGCGCGCGAATGGTGTCACTGGTTTTAGGGCGCGAAGCGACTGCTGCGGTGAGCGCTGGAAGATTCGTTTGAAGCGATGTGTGGCGTATGTCTTGTAGGCGACACTATGGGCATGTTTCAACGCGTACGTTAGGCGCGTCTAAGGTTTATTGCGCGTGAACCGACGAGTCGGTGGTCTAGTGAGCGGCGGTTGCGGGAGGTGTTGCAGGCGAACGGATGAGGCGGCAACTGCGGGTGCCGTGACCGCGAGCGCGTGGCTGGCGAAAGAGAGAGAGAGAGAGTGACGTCAGTGCGCACTGTGAAAGGAGCGTGACGTCAACGCGTCGAAGTGGCGTGACCTGTT